AGATTTTTGATTATGGGCCCAGTTTTCAAGTTTGTCCAAGTTGGGGTCCAAAATTAAACTTTGTTTGATTTTAACAAAAATTGAATATATGGGGTTCTTTGATATGCTGAATCTAACCATGTATTTTGATTTTGGACATTGGACCATAATAGGTAAATTAAAAAAATTCAAGTTCTTAGACCACATTCTTTCTGTGTCAGAAACCTATGCTGTGTCAAATATTTAATAACAATCCAAATTCAGAGCTGTATCAAGCTTGAATGTTGTGTCCATACTTGCCCCAACTGTTCAGGGTTCGACCTCTGCGGTCGTATCAAGCTGCGCCCCAGCGAAGCATTTTATTATAGCCTTATGATGTAGTTGAATTATTTAATACTTTTATGATGTGTTTAAATGGGGTTTTATGGTTGCAAATTTATTGTTTTAGGTTAATAAACTCCATTTAAAATTTGGTAATAAAAAAAATTTTTGTTTATTTTTAGCTATGATTATGATGTCATTTTCTATTTTACTTTTATGGTTGCAAAGAAATTTTTATTTTTAGATATTACTGTTAAATGATGCTGATTAAGGTTTTTGCTATGTTTAGCCATGACTATGATGTCATTTTCTATTTTAATATCTGTCATGATGTATTTAAATGGGCTTTTATGGTTACAAAGGAATTTTATTTTTAGATATTACTGTAAAATGTTGCTGATTAAGGATTTTGTTTATTTTTAGCCATGACTATGATGTCATTTTCTATTTTAATACCTTTATTATGTAATTTCCATTTTTAGATATTACTGTTAAATGATGCTGATTGAGGGTTTGAATGCTGGGATTGATTTTGGGGGTAATTGCCTCCAAATTTTAGGAATTAGGGGGCAAAAAACAAGCATTTTTCTAGTTTCATGACAATAACTTGTGTGTAAGTGTATGGATATTTATGAAATTGTACTACAAGGTTCCATATCACAAAGGGAAAGCTGGAATTGAGTTTGGGGGTACTTGCCCAAAACGTTCAGGAATAAGGGGCCAAAAATAAGCATTTTTCTAGTTTCCAGACAATAACTTGTGTTCAAGTGTATGGATCTCTCTGAAATTGTACTGCAAGGTACCATACCACAAAGGGAAGGCTGGGATTGTTTTTGGGGGTAATTGTCTCAAAATGTTAGGAATTAGGGGCCATAAAGGGGCAAAAAAATAAGCATTTTTCTAGTTTCAGGACAATAACTTGTGTGTAAGTGTATGGATCTTTATGACATTGTACTGCAAGGTTCCATATCACAAAGGGAAAGCTTGGTTTGAGTTTGGGGGTAATTGCCCTAAACTTTTAGGAATTTGGGGCCAAAAAGGTGCAAAAAACCCAAGCATTTTTCTAGTTTCCAGACAATAATTTGTGTTCAAGTGTATGGATCTCTCTGAAATTGTACTGCAAGGTACCATACCACAAAGGGAAGGCTGGGATTGAGTTTGGGGGTGATGAATCATAAGGGGGTTTCAAAAAATTTGGGGGGGGGGGATTTTTTTTTCCTTTTTTTTCTTTAAAGTTTTCCATTTTAAATTGGTTATTTCTGATTTATATATAAAAGCAAATAATAATGATATGGTTTGAATAGGTAAATTAAAAAATTTTAAGTTCTTAGACTACTTTCATTCTGTGTGAGAAACCTATGCTGTGTCAAATATTTAATTACAATCCAAATTCAGTGCTGTATCAAGCTTGAATGTTGTGTCCATACTTGCCCCAACTGTTCAGGGTTCGACCTCTGCGGTCGTATCAAGCTGCGCCCCAGCGGAGCATTTTATTAAATTTTGACTTGGATGGAGAGTTGTCTCATTGGCACTCATACCACATCTTCTTATATCTATATTGTACACCAACACATTGTGATTGGTTAGTTATGTCTTAACTACTGTAAATTCAGAAATTAATGCGAGGTTTTTATTAATGCAACTCCTTGAGTATTGCAATAATAAGAACTTGCATTCTGATATATGATACATATAATATTTGTAAATCCTAAAATCGCAATTATTAGACTCACATTTTTGTTCATTCTTCAAACATCGCAATAATAAATGCATGCAATAATTTATGAATTAACAGTATCAACATCCAACAAAGGAAGTGATGTTACCATAATTAAATTTGGTGTATAAACAATTATGCAATTATCAGTACTCAAAATTCTTAAAGATTCAAAATTCTAACAGTTTTTAATACTGAAAAAGTTTTAACAAAAATACTGAACTATCAGGTAAATTTGATCAAAGTACTGAAGTACTGAACAAATGATGACTGCAAGTTCTTGTGGATGGTCACAAGCACTTGTCTCAGAATAAAAAAAATCACATCTCTATATCTGAGAGTGAGGTTAATTTGTACAGATATAACTTTTTTTTCTCAGACAAGTTCGTGAGTGGATGATGAATAAATGACAGGGAATTCAACCTCACCGTAATAAATATGATATTGAAGTGATACAAATCAGTATAATATATAATTTTCATCCATTTATATATCATTCTATTCTACTATTCTAATGATAGTGCAGTTCAAGTGCATGGTGGACACTCTTCTGTAATAATTCAATTTTTCTTATAGATTGGATTTGAGTAGGTATTCATATTTTCCCACCAAACTTTCAATTTCCCATGCAGAGTTATTGGTCCTTGAGAGAGAGCGAGGACCGATAACTCTGCATGGGAGATTGCAAACGCTCTTGAGATATTCTTCTGCATGCGTTAACACACATTTTCTGTATGTGTGCATAGATATTAAAGATTTTTTACTTATATATATATTTCTAACGACAAAACATTTTCATACTATTAATTTATGTTCTAAAAAAAATATTTTTAGGAGTATCCATTGAAAAAATGAATTTATAACAAGTGATAAGGAATGTTAATGGCACTCGATAATGTCCGCGTATTTATCATGTTTATAGATTGGTTACAATCCCAACATGAAAGTTACGTAATGGAAATCTAGGCGACAGCAATACACCAGAATGCCCTCACGGTCATCCGATGTAAAAAGGGGAAGTCCATAAAAACTGAAAAAATGAAACGTTATTACCACAATAACTACTGATGTCATATTGAAGTACCGGTTAAAAATGATGCATAGAAGTTGAACAGCCATTAGAAGTATTTTAATGAATATGTATTATTTCTGCCAAGAAATACAGTTTATTTGATATGTTGATTCAGCCAATTATTTACATGTTCTTATTAACTTAATTCTATATACAACTCTACTGTCAGTAAGACATAATGCAGACTGACTCAAAATAATTACACTGCTAAAAACTCTAAATATTTTGACATGGATAAACTGAAATGCATGTATATTTAATTTGTGGCAAGGGGGTTCTTTGAAGTTCAAAATCCTGATTTGTGTTGAGTACAATCATAATTGCATGGCAGACGTTTCCTCTCTAATTAAAGTTCTAGAAATCATTACATATTTATAGATGTTGTCCTCATTTGGCTGCCTTCTTCAGCTCATCTGTTACAAGGGTGGTTTAATTTTTTTCATCTTCCAAATAAGGGACAGAATTCAATATTGAATGTACATAGTCCTGGGTACGTTGTGCCAGTGGTCTATGTTTCAGAATGATCAATGCTTTAGTCACTTTATATGTCTTGATATATGTCGACCCTGATTTTGTAGTTTACAGTAGTATCTGCTACATTAACATTGAAAATCACACTTCATTTCCTTATGAATTTCACCTTTCACTTTAAAAATTAATTACTATTGCATGTTTTACTTACAAAGCTGTTTTGGGATGCATTTAGCCTTCCCTATTTTTTGGTATTTTTACAGTTTGTATTTATACCCCACGCAACTAGTTGCGGAGGGTATAATGTTATTGACCCGTCCGTCCGTCAGTCCGTCAGTCCTGTTTCTTGTCATCGCAACTCCTCTCAAACCACACAACAGAATTTCACGAAACCTTTTTAGATAAAAGGGCATACTATGTAGTTGTGCATATCGACAGGAAATTACGATTCAATTCTTTTTCTAGGAGTTACGCCCCTTTGAACTTATATACTTTAATGTACTACTGCAACAGTTTGTCATCGCAACTCCTCTCAAACCACACAACAGAATTTCATGAAACCTTTTCAGATAATAAGGACATACTATGTAGTTGTGCATATCGACAGGAAATTACGATTCAATTCTTTTTCTAGGAGTTACGCCCCTTTGAACTTATATACTTTAATGTACTACTGCAACAGTTTGTCATCGCAACTCCTCTCAAACCACACAACAGAATTTCATGAAACCTTTTCAGATAATAAGGACATACTACGTAGATGTGCATATCGACAGGAAATTACGATTCAATTTTTATACGACCTCAAAAAAATTTTTGTGGTCGTATATTGGTATGGCGTCGTCGTCCAAAGACACATTAGTTTTCGCACTCTAACTTTAGTTTAAGTAAATGGATCTCTATGAAATTTTACCATAAGGTTCAATACCACAAAAGGAAGGTGGGGATTGATTTTGGGGGTTATGGTACCAATAGTTAAGGAATTAGGGGCCAAAAAGGGGCCAAAAATAAGCATTTTCTAGTTTCCAGACAATAACTGTGGAACCGTGTATGGATCTCTCTGAAATTATACTACAAGTTTCCATACCACAAAGGGATGGTTAGGATTTGCTTTGGGGGGTTATTGCTCAAACCGTTTAAGAATTAGGGGCAAAAAAGGGGGAAAAACAAGGTTGTCCTCATTAATGGACAAATACTTTAGTACAAAACATAATTTAAAGCAGTGTAAGGGAGATAAATCAAATACATCATTGAAATTATCTCCCTTACACTGCTTTTAAATTATGTATAAAGTAATGGTTAATGAACAATTAAGATAATTTAAAACAGTGTAAGGGAGGTAATCCAAATACAACGTTGTGGTTACTTCCCTTACACTGCTTTTAAATTATGTTTAAAGAAATGCATATTTATAAAGGAAGACCAGTATGGCGCATTAGATTTGTAAAATCTTTGACCACATTTATTTATTTGTTATGCCGAATCTAACTGTGTATTTAGATTTTTAATTTTGGGTCCAGTTTTCAAATTGGTCTACATTAAGGTCCAAAGGGTCCAAAATTAAACTTTGTTTGATTTTAACAAAAATTGAATATATGGGGTTCTTTGATATGCTGAATCTAAACATGTATTTAGATTTTTGATTTTTGGCCCAGTTTTCAAGTTGGTCCAAATTGGGGTCCAAAATTAAACTTTGTTTGATTTCAACAAAAATTGAATATATGGGGTTCTTTGATATGCTGAATCTTACCATGTATTTAGATTTTTTATTTGTGGGCCCGCTATCAAATTGGTTCATATTGAGGTCAGAAGGGTCCAAAATTAAACTTTGTTTAATTTCATCAAAAATTGAATTATTGGGGTTCTTTGATATGCCAAATCTAACCGTGTATTTAGATTTTTAATTTTGGGTCCCGTTTTTTAAATTGGTCTACATTAAGGTCCAAAGGGTCCAAAATTAAACTTAGTTTGATTTTAACAAAAATTGAATTTTTGGGGTTCTTTGATGTGCTGAATCTAAATATGTGTTTAGATTTTTGATTATGGGACCAGTTTTCAAGTTGGTTCAAGTTGGGGTCCAAAATTAAACTTTGTTTGATTTCAACAAAAATTGAATATATGGGGTTCTTTGATATGCTGAATCTAAACATGTATTTAGATTTTAGATTTTTGGCCCAGTTTTCAAGTTGGTCCAAATTGGGGTCCAAAATTAAACTTTGTTTGATTTCAACAAAAATTGAATATATGGGGTTCTTTGATATGCTGAATCTTACCATGTATTTAGATTTTTTATTTGTGGGCCCGCTATCAAATTGGTTTATATTGAGGTCAAAAGGGTCCAAAATTAAACTTTGTTTGATTTCATCAAAAATTGAATTATTGGGGTTCTTTGATATGCCAAATCTAACCGTGTTTTTAGATTTTTAATTTTGGGTCCCGTTTTTTAAATTGGTCTACATTAAGGTCCAAAGGGTCCAAAATTAAACTTAGTTTGATTTTAACAAAAATTGAATTCTTGGGGTACTTTGATATGCTGAATCTAAACATGTGTTTAGATTTTTGATTATGGGACCAGTTTTCAAGTTTGTCCAAGTTGGGGTCCAAAATTAAACTTTGTTTGATTTCAACAAAAATTGAATAAATGGGGTTCTTTGATATGCTGAATCTAACCATGTATTTTGATTTTGGACATTGGACCATAATAGGTAAATTAAAAAAATTGAAGTTCGTAGACCACATTCTTTCTGTGTCAGAAACCTCTGCTGTGTCAAATATTTTAATCACAATCCAAATTCAGAGCTGTTTCAAGCTTGAATGTTGTGTCCATACTTGCCCCAACTGTTCAGGGTTCGACCTCTGCGGTCGTATCAAGCTGCGCCCAGCGAAGCATTTTATTTTTCCAGGAGTTATGCCCCTTTGAACTTATTTGCCCAATATACTACTGCAACCTTTTGTCATTGCAACTCCTCTCAAACCACACAACAGAATTTCATGAAACCTTTTCAGATAATAAGGACATACTACGTAGATGTGCATATCGACAGGAAATTACGATTCAATTTTTTTTCCAGGAGTTACGCCCCTTTGAACTTATTTGCCCAATATACTACTGCAACCATTTGTCATCGCAACTCCTCTCAAACCACACAACAGAATTTCATGAAACCTTTTCAGATAATAAGGACATACTACGTAGATGTGCATATCGACAGGAAATTACGATTCAATTTTTTTTCCAGGAGTTACGCCCCTTTGAACTTATTTGCCCAATATACTACTGCAACCTTTTGTCATCGCAACTCCTCTCAAACCACACAGCAAAATTTCATGAAACTGTGTAGATAATAAGGACATACTATGTAGATGTGCATATTGACAGGAAATTATGATTCAATTTTTATACGACCGCAAAAAAATTTTTGTGGTCGTATATTGGTATGACGTTGGCGTCGTCGTCGTCGTCGTCGTCGTCGTCGTCCGGCGTCGTCGTCCGAATACACATTAGTTTTCGCACTCTAACTTTAGTTTAAGTGAATGGATCTCAATGAAATTTTACCATAAGGTTCAATACCACAAAAGGAAGGTGGGGATTGATTTTGGGGGTTATGGTACTAACAGTTAAGGAATTAGGGGCCAAAAAGGGGCCAAAAATAAGCATTTTTGTAACTTCCAGACATAACTTGTGTGTAAGTATATGGATCTCTCTGACATTGTTCCACAAGGTTCCATATCACAAAGGGAATGCTGGGATTGATTTTGGGGGTAATTGCCTCCAAATTTTAGGAATTAGGGGCCAAAAAGGGGCAAAAAACAAGCATTTTTCTAGTTTCATGACAATAACTTGTGTGTAAGTGTATGGATCTCTCTGACATTGTATCACAAGGTTCCATATCACAAAGGGAATACTGGGATTGATTTTTGGGGGTAATTTCCTCCAAATTTTGGGAATTAGGGGCCAAAAAGGGGCAAAAAACAAGCATTTTTCTAGTTTCAGGACAATAACTTGTTTGTAAGTGTATGGATCTTTATGAAATTGTACTGCAAGGTTCCCTTTTACAAAGGGAAAGCTGGGTTGGAGTTTGGGGGTAATTGCCCTAAACGTTTAGGAATTAGGGGCCAAAAAGGGACAAAAAAACAAGCATTTTTCTAGTTTCCAGACAATAACTTGTGTTCAAGTGAATGGATCTCTCTAAAATTGTACTGCAAGGTACCATACCACAAAGGGAAAGCTGGGATTGAGTGTGGGGGCGATGAATCATAAGGGGGTTCAAAAAATTTGGGGGGGGGGATTTTTTTTTCCTTTTTTTTCTTTAAAATTTACCATTTTAAATTGGTTATTTCAGATTTATATATAAAAGCAAATAATAATGATATGGTTTGAATAGCATACATGTGAACCTCCCGACAGGAGTACAATAATCCTGTTTTCAGGAGTCTCCTCCCGACCTCCGGTTGAAGAGGAAAATTATAATCCCGTGTATGAAATTTTTCATGAATGAAAAATTTCTGCCCAACATATCATCTCAGGCATCTGGTGTAACTCACATTACCTGAAGTTATATTTTACCTGTAAATCAATTAACATGCATAATTATATGGCTTCACTTGTCAGCTTGGGTGTCAAACATACTGGTAATCAATGATTTTTTACCTCAGGCTAACTGCCGTTGTGTAACAAAAACTGTGTATTTATTGGGTTACTTCCCTTGATTTATCCTGTTTTAAGTTACTTTCCTTTTAATAATGAAAATTTTTAAAAGAATATAAATAAAATATAAATTGAACAAATAATCATAAAAGGATGGTAAATAAATGATTTTAAATGTCTTAGGACAAATAAAAAAATAATAATTTGAAAATTATTTGAGGTTTCTATACTTCCTTTCAAGGCTTAAATTGAAATTTATATAATAACTATGACCCTTGTTTTACAGTCAGAATGATTTTCTGAGTATTTGCTATTTGCAGATAGTTAAACAAATGTTCTGGTTGCAATAAATGTTTTATAGAATATGAAGTAAAAAATTTAAAGAACATACTGAAAAAAAAATAATGTTAGATTGAACATGTAAAATATAAAGATGGAGAAACTTTATAAGTACAAGGGTACTATAAACATAATAAATTGGATGGAAAGTTGAAGAAAACACACTTTAAAAGACCATTTTTACAGCACACGGTTGCATTTACGACAAAATTTATGTCGATTAAAAACCTCCTGATCTGAGTTTCACAGTCCATCACATGTATGAATAGGTAAATTAAAAAATTATAAGTTCTTAGACCACTTTCATTCTGTGTCAGAAACCTATGCTGTGTCAAATATTTAATTACAATCCAAATTCAGTGCTGTATCAAACTTGAATGTTGTGTCCATACTTGCCCCAACTGTTCAGGGTTTGACCTCTGCGGTCGTATCAAGCTGCGCCCCAGCGGAGCATTTTATTTTTTCTGATACAATTTTTTTTTCTTAATTTTATTTTATTTCTCCAATGACAATGTGGGGACGTGGGGTATGTGAGCGCGCTCACTAAGGTTCTTTAATTTTTTTTAAGTGAAAACAAACTTCAGTTGTGACTGTTGTACCAGTCTTATTATTTAGTATACCATGTTGTTTTTGTCTTGAATGAAAACAGTTGGAATGTAAAATCATGTATACTAAAGAACACTGCAAAAAAATCTAAAAAGTTGTTGTCCAAAAAATTGAAGTTCTGGTATGATAAGATTTGTTGATAGAATACAATTTTTGGAAAAAAGATCAATAGTAAAATGGCTATCTTACCAAATGATAGAAAACCTTTGCAAATTAAACATACATTGTAGATAACTCAATAATATTGGGATATTTTCCCCCACTTTAGAAAAATATGTTTTTCTTATAAAAAAAAAAAAATTAATTGAACTGCACAAAGAATGAAAAGGAATTAACTTTTGTCTGGATGGTAAAATTCATTAATTCATGTGGTAACCGACACTGTAGTGTTTACTTCTTCATGAGATACATGTAGACAAGTTTTCCTTAGATATAGGGATGTTAATTTCACATAAAAATATGTTTTATGGCCTTTAATCTCAGGAAATCTTAACTCTGTAAATCACTTATCTTGAAATTAAGATACAGAGGCTGAACCTTTGAATGTTGGCATAAAAAATGTATCTGGCATCAGACAGGTAAATATTTCTCAGTTACCATGATTAGGATTGAAACCTTTAATGAATAAAACAGTTTACCAATACTGAATAGAAAATTCAGCTTTGTTTGTCTGGTTGCTTTTGCTGTCCTGTTCATATTTGCTGCCATCACTTGACATGCTTGAGTCTGACCTTGTAAATATGATATAGTTTAGAGCCAGTGAAATTTTTGCCAACTCATTTTTATACGAAAAATATAATAAGCATTTTTGTAACTTCCAGACATAACTTGTGTGTTAGTGTAAGGATCTCTCTGACATTGTACCACAAGGTTCCATATCACAAAGGGAATGCTGGGATTGATTTTGGGGGTAATTGCCGCAAAATTTTAGGAATTAGGGGCCAAAAAAGGGGCAAAAAACAAGCATTTTTCTAGTTTCATGATAATAACTTGTGTGTAAGTATATGGATTTTTCTGAAATTGAACTACAAGGTTCCATATCACAAAGGGAAAGCTGGAATTGAGTTTGGGGGTAATTGCACAAAACGTTGAGGAATAAGGGGCCAAAAAGGAGCCAAAAATAGCATTTTTCTAAGTTTCCAGACAATAACTTCTGTTCAAGTGTATGGATCTCTCTGAAATTGTACTGCAAGGTACCATACCACAAAGGGAATGCTGGTATTGAGTTTGGGGGTAATTGCCCTTAACATTTAGGAATTTGGGGCCAAAAAGGAGCCTAAAAACAAGCATTTTCTAGTTTCCAGACAATAACTTGTGTGTAAGTGTATGGATCTTTATGAAATTGTACTACAAGGTTCCATATCACAAAAGGAAAGTTTGGTTTGAGTTTGGGGGTAATTGCCCTAAACATTTAGGAATTTGGGGCCAAAAAGGGGCCTAAAAACAAGCATTTTTCTAGTTTCCAGACAAATAACTTGTGTTCAAGTGTATGGATCTCTGTGAAATTGTACTGCAAGGTACCATACCACAAAGGGAAGGCTGGGATTGTGTTTGGGGGTGATGAATCATAATGGGGTTCAAAAAATTTAGTGGAGGGATTTTTTTTTTCTTTAAAATTTTCCATTTTAAATTGGTTATTTCTGATTTATATATAAGAGCAAATAATAATGATATAGTTTGAATAGGTAAATTAAAATTTTTTAAGTTCTTAGACCACATTCATTCTGTGTCAGAAACCTATGCTGTATCAAATATTTAATCACAATCCAAATTCAGTGCTGTATCAAGCTTGAATGTTGTGTCCATTTAATTTTTCTATTCACTTAATAAAATTTTCAAATGTAATGTGTAATTCAAGGCATTACTTTGCAAAAGTAATTGTAATATAATGCATTACTTTGATAAATGCATGTAATTGTAATTGTAATATAATGCATGGTTTGGTCAAAGTAATTGTAATATAATGCATTACATTGCAATGTAATTCGCCCCATGCCTGGTCCATACTTGCCCCAACTGTTCAGGGTTCGACCTCTGCGGTTGTATCAAGCTGCGCCCCAGCGGAGCATTTTATTTCAATTTAAAAAAAATGTGAAGTTGAGAAAATTGGAATGGGTCAAAATGACTTTTCTTTATATATTTCATTGTTTTGTTTTGGGTCTGGCAATATTTAATCTTCTTTTACATAGCCAGGCATTTATTGAATGTATCGTTTACTATTTTTAAGTTCTGTTTGGGAGTAGCAAAATTATAAATTAACTAGGTAGATTTAACCCATTAAGAAAATTTGCTAACTGAATGAAAAATTTATGTTTAAAACGTAGTTATTTGCAAGTTTTCTATTACTTTCCTATTAAATAAAATTTGTCATTTGAATGTTTTTAATTTGTATCAGTATGGTATGATTTAAATTGCTTTTTCAATAAGTAATGATACGTTGTCATCAAACAGTAATCATTCATTCAACAAATTGACAGTTAGTATTATTTGCTAGTTATGATTAGAAGAAGTAGGTACTTATTCCTTATCTCAGTCAAAATTTGTCAATTATACCACACACAAAGGCATCTATAACTAGCTTTAGTGGAGTTCTCTCTGGGTATCACCCTTGGATTTCCTATCTTCCAGTCATTTTTTATACAAAATGTTTTATTTTATTAAAGAAATGATAATTTTGCTGTTTATTTGAACCTCATGAGATAAATTATAATCACATCCTGTGAATGCTGTGGTGGTGAAACTTTTCAGCTTTACATTTTATCTCACAAGTTACATGTAAAAATTAGAATATAATTTGAATGCTGATGTACATGACATAATTGGTGTGCTTTCCAGATTGAAAATCTCTCAAAAATTGCAGTGGTGATAACAGTTACAAAACTTTTGTTTGAAAAAGTGGTGAAGTTTTGAAGGTGCAAACACATATGTCATGTATGATGAAACAAATTTTACTTTGAGATATGGTAGTCACGATGCAGATGTTGAAAAGTTTAATGCACTTAAGCTCAGCTTTTCCAAATTTTGATCGAATTACTATATACTGTTCCATTTATTCCAGTTATTCCAGTAACTTTTTCAATGGTCCTATCAGGATTTGAATAGGCCTTAAACACAGATTTTAATTTAGATGGAATAATTAGGTAATTGTTAAAAAAAAAAGCCAAGTAGAGTTCTCCAAAAGGTTTTATTAGTTTTTATACGACCGCAAAAAAATTTTTGTGGTCGTATATTGGTATGACGTTGGCGTCGTCGTCGTCCGGCGTCGTCCGAAGACACATTGGTTTTCGCACTCTAACTTTAGTTTAAGTGAATGGATCTTTATGAAATTTTACCACAAGGTTCAATACCACAAAAGGAAGGTTGGGATTGATTTTGGGGGTTATGGTAATAACAGTAAAGGAATTAGGGGCCAAAAAGGGGCCAAAAATAAGCATTTTTGTAACTTCCAGACATAACTTGTGTGTTAGTGTATGGATCTCTCTGACATTGTACCACAAGGTTCCATATCACTAAAGGAATGCTGGGATTGATTTTGGGGGTAATTGCCTCCAAATTTTAGGAATTAGGGGCCAAAAAAGGGGCAAAAAACAAGCATTTTTCTAGTTTCATGACAATAACTTGTGTGTAAGTGTATGGATCTTTCTGAAATTGTACTACAAGGTTCCATATCACAAAGGGAAAGCTGGGTTTGAGTTTGGGGGTAATTGCCCTAAACGTTTAGGAATTTGGGGCCAAAAAGGGGCCAAAAAACACATTTTTTTCTAGTTTCCAGACAATAACTTGTGTTCAAGTGTATGGATCTCTCTGAAATTGTACTGCAAGGTAGCATACCACAAAGGGAAGGCTGGGATTGAGTTTGGGGGTGATGAATCATAATGGGGGTTCAAAAAATTTTGGGGGGGGATTTATTTTTTTTTTCTTTTTTTTTCTTTTTTTCCTTTTTTGTTTCTTTTAAAATTTTCCATTTTAAGTTGGTTATTTCTGATTTATATTTAAAATCAAATAATAATGATATGGTAGGAGATACACACCAAACAGGATGTGTAAATTATTATATAATAAGTATTGTGCAATAGCAAGAAATTTTCAATTGCACAGTATTGCACAATAGCAAGAAATCTTCAATTGCACAGTATTGCGCAATAGCAAGAAATCTTCAATTGCACAGTATTGCGCAATAGCAAGAAATATCCAATAGCACAATATTGCGCAATAGCAAGAAATTGTCAATTGTACAGTATTGCGCAATAGCAAGAAATATTTAATAGCACAGGATTGTGCAAAAGAAGATACTTCCTATAAATTGCTTATTTCTTGACCAATTTCAATGGGGTTTTATTCTTGATTTCATGGGGTTCTTTAATATGCTGAATATAACCGTGTATTTAGTTTTTGGATTTTGGGCCCCGTTTTTAAATTGGTCCACATTGAGGTCCAAAGGGTCCAAAATTAAACTTTGTTTGATTTCATCAAAAATTGAATTATTGGGGTTCTTTGATATGCCGAATCTAACTGTGTATTTAGATTCTTAAATTTTGGTTCCGTTTTCAAATTGGTCTACATTAAGGTCCAAAGGGTCCAAAATTAAACTTAGTTTGATTTTAACAAAAATTGAATTCTTAGGGTTCTTTGATATGCTGAATCTAAACATGTATTTAGATTTTTGATTATGGGCCCAGTTTTCAAGTTGGTCCAAATCGGGGTCCAAAATTAAACTTTGTTTGATTTCAACAAAAATTGAATATATGGGGTTCTTTGATATGCTGAATCTAACCATGTATTTAGATTTTTGATTTTTGGGCCCCGTTATCAACTTTGTCCACATTGAGGTCAAAAGGGTCCAAAATTAAACTTTGTTTGATTTCATCAAAAATTGAATTATTGGGGTTCTTTGATATGCCGAATCTAACCGTGTATTTAGATTCTTAATTTTTGGTTCCGTTTTCAAATTGGTCTACATTAAGGTCCAAAGGGTCCAAAATTAAACTTAGTTTGATTTTAACAAAAATTGAATTCTTAGGGTTCTTTGATATGCTGAATCTAAACATGTATTTAGATTTTTGATTATGGGCCCAGTTATCAAGTTGGTCCAAATCGGGGTCCAAAATTAAACTTTGTTTGATTTCAACAAAAATTGAATATATGGGGTTCTTTGATATGCTGAATCTAACCATGTATTTAGATTTTTGATTTTTGGGCCCCGTTATCAACTTTGTCCACATTGAGGTCAAAAGGGTCCGAAATTAAACTTTGTTTGATTTCATCAAAAATTGAATTCTTGGGGTTCTTTGATATGCTGAATCTAACCATGTATTTAGATTTTGGATATTGGACCATAATAGGTGAATGTCCAATTTAAAATTTTTAAGTTCTTAGACCACATTCAATCTGTGTTAGAAACCTATGCTGTGTCAAATATTTAATCACAATCCAAATCCAAAGCTGTATCAAGCTTGAATGTTGTGTCCATACTTCCCCCAACTGTTCAGGGTTCGACCTCTGCGGTCGTATCAAGCTGCGCCCTGCGGAGCATTTTATTACTTCTTTAAAAACATGCATACAAAAGACTAGAGAGCACAGAAAAAAGCAGAAATGTAGTGTATCTCTTAGTTTGCATGGCTCAGAAATGAAAATATAAATGAGTACCTTTTTCTTTTGTAGATCCTCACATTAAAGTGGTTGGTTATCCTGAGGATGTCAAATCTGCCAAAGAACATATAATGTCCATATTGGACACAAAAGTAAGTTCAATGCTTCCATTTGTTATTCAGACATCTTCCATTAAAAAGGTACACTTTGAAAGGTATATTCTGTAATAAGCTTAACTTCATTTTACATTTGAGTGCTAAATTTGTTTTGGAGTTTTAAACCATTCATACTTGTGACTATCTCTTTTATTAGATCTCTTTTTTTTCTGCTACTAGTTTCAATGAGCAAGATCCTCTTAGGTAGTTAAGGTTGTTAATCATCCCTGTAGTTGTAGTGGTGCTGGGCTTATATAAATGTACTAATGTACCTGGACTATAATGTGAGTTGTAAGTTAATCACAGATGTCATTACTTACTGTGCTATTTTTCCTTACATGAGATATCACATTATGTAAACTATCCAAAAGGCAAGACAGGATTTTGCTTGTTGTGTTTAATCACAGATTTTAAAAGGGTACTGTAATGGAAAATCATTACCCTTCTATTTTACGTCATATGTATGTGTTTTAGGTGAAAAGTTACTAAATTTCTGTCAAAAGATAGAGAAATCAATGCAAACATCAGCTTGAAGTACCATATGTCAGTAAATCTAAATTTCATCAGTTGCTTAAAGGATATCTGATTAAACTCTGCTTTTTGAGAGTGTTTACATTTTTATAAACATGCATGCAAAATGTTATAATCGGGTAACAAATCTCTCTTGGGATGACAAGTTAAGATATGTATTTCAATTTAGAGTTAAATATGTCTTATGACAAACCTGGTAGGTTCTTATGAAGTCAAGGTCTTCCCAAAGACGAGTAAATCTTATAGTGCTTTTGAACCCAAGAGATTTTTAAAGTAACAAATCATTAAAATCAACTGAAAAACTCAGAAATAAAGTTAAATGAGTAGGAATGATATAATTATAGACACTGATGGTATTGATAGTTAAGCAATCATACTACCTAATTCCTCTACATTTACAGACAGTAAAAATTGTCATTCCCATCATTATATGTCCATCTATTGCCAAATGTCTGTAAACTTTTTGTAAGATTGCCTTTTCTGAGAGCAATTAAACTTGGCCACCTTTATCCATAAGGTGCATATATATTCATTTGAAAATATGTTTAATTAGCTAACCAATAATCTAACATTGGTTTATATTCCCAATAATATTCCAATAAAGAAATAAGCTCATTTTGGGGATCAATATACTCTAGACAATGTATTGTTGTTACATGTTTGAATGTTTTGCGGAACCCTTGCTGAAATCTAAACCAGAAAGTGGCTTTACTGCTTTTTTATTGATCAGACAAATAGATTTGTTTAAATACCAGTATTGTTTTTTTTACCAAGACCACAGGGGCAATCAATAGGAAAAAGCTACTTCTTTGAACTTTTTATCTAAATGATCCTTAGGTTGTTAGAGGAATCATTTGTACTTAAAACACATGAGCAGTTCAGACTCAATCCTTTGAACTTCTAAATTCAGTTTTCAACCCTCTATCAATTAGATTTGTCATGGACTAAACATATAAAATAAATAATTCTAGCCAATACAATAATAAAAAAAAAACACATTGACATAGAAAACAGACTGCCATGATTGATCACAGAAAAAAAAAAGAAAATGAAACCATGTCCTTTTACAGAGGTTATTTATTTGTATTAGATTTGTTTAATAGTTTTTATACGACAGCAAAAAAATTTTTGTGGTCGTATATTGGTATGACGTTGGCGTCGTCGTTGTCGTCCGGCGTCGTCGTCCGAAGACACATTAGTTTTCGCACTCTAACTTTAGTTTGAGTGAATGGATCTCAATGAAATTTTACCATAAGGTTCAATACCACAAAAGGAAGGTGGGGATTGATTTTGGGGGTTATGGTACCAACATTTAAGGAATTAGGGGCCAAAAAGGGGCCAAAAATAAGCATTTTTGTAACTTCCAGACATAACTTGTGTGTAAGTGTATGGATCTCTCTGACATTGTACCACAAGGTTCCATATCACAAAGGGAAAGCTGGGTTTGAGTTTGGGGGTTATTGCCCCAAACGTTTAGGAATTTGGGGCCAAAAAGGGGCAAAAAAACAAGCATTTTTCTAGTTTCCAGACAATAACTTGTGTTCAAGTGTATGGATCTCTCTGAAATTATACTGCAAGGTACCATACCACAAAGGGAAGGCTGGGATTGAGTTTGGGGGTGATGAATCATAAGGGGGTTCAAAAAATTGGTGGGGGGGGATTTTTTTTCCCTTTTTTTTTCTTTAAAATTTTCCATTTTAAATTGGTTATTTCTGATTTATATATAAAAGCAAATAATAATGATATGCATACATGTGAACCTCCCAACGGGAGTACAATAATCCCGTTTTCAGGGGTCTCCTCCCGACCTCCCGTTGAAGAGAAAAAAATCCAGTGTATGAAATTTTTTCCCCAACATATCATCTCAGACATCTGGTGTAACTGACATTACCTGAAGTTATATTTTACATGTAAATCAATTAGCATGCATAATTATATGGCTTCACTTGTCAGCTTGGGTGTCAAACTTACTGGTAATCAACAATTTTTACCTCAGGCTAACTGCCGTTGTGTAATAAAAACTTTGTGTATTTATTGGGTTACTTCCCTTGATTTATCCTGTTTTAAGTTTCTTTCCTTTCAATAATGTAAATTTTTAAAAGAATATAAATAAAATATAAATTGAACAAATAATCATAAAAGGATGGTACTTAAATTAATTTAAACTCTTAGGACAAATAAAAAAATAATAATATACTTCCTTTCAAGACTTAAATTGAAATTTATATAATAACTATGACCCTTTATTCTAGACCTTATATATATGTTTCTTAATATGCAAATATAAACTAATTGCAATTGCTGATAGTTAAACAAATGTTTTGAATGCAATGATTGTTCTATAGAAAAATGATATAAAAGATATGAATTAAAAAATTTAAAAAAGATAGAGAAACTTTATAAGTACAAGGGTACTATAAACATAATTCATTCGGATGGAAAGTTGAAGAATACACACTTTAAAAGACAATTTTTACAGCACACGGTTACATTTACGTCAAAATTTATGTCGACTAAAAACCTCCTGATCTGAGTCCTAATCTCCTGACCAAAATTTTCCAATCTCCTGATCTGAGTTTCACAGTCCATCACATGTATTGATATGGTTTGAATAGGTAAATTAAAATTTTTTAAGTTCTTAGACCACTTTCATTCTGTGTCAGAAACCTATGCTGTGTCAAATATTTAATTACAATCCAAATTCAGTGCTGTATCAAGCTTGAATGTTGTGTCCATACTTGCCCCAACTGTTCAGGGTTCGACATCTGCGGTCGTATCAAGCTGCGCCCCAGCGGAGCATTTTATTGTTTCTTATTGACAGAATATAGTTTAATGACTAACAAAAGTGCACATACATTGGTTTTATAATATTGTAAATTAAATGACAAGAATCTTTTGTAAGCTGTTCCTGCAATTTAAATACCATTATTTAAAAAAAAAAGTAATTGAGTTGTAATGAATGATGATAACCTTCAAACATGAAGACATTTTGTGAGAATTTTTCATATACATTTTGAGTGTTAAAAAATTATGTAATTTATTTTTCATTTGAAGTTTTAAGTTTATACAGTTCAGTATTTAAATTGAATTAACATGTGGAAGGCAGTTCAATTATTGATTCAAAGTTAATTGTAGATTGACTAAGAAGACCTTGTGTTTTGAATTTTATGACCGCATGAAAATACAGTGGCGACAAAATTTAAAGTTTATCATTAAAATCTTCATGAACAACATTGGTATATATGAGTATAGTTCCAATCAAGGTCACTTGTAAGCTGTATATCAAGATTGTATCTTCTTTCCTATTTAACCCATTATTATTATGAACAATAGCGAAATGTAATTGGATAAAACGAAACTAAAAGATTTTAAAATTCTCTAAAATTATAGTTGCTTTTTAGTGTGTCTTTGATTTGTACATATGCTTTGTCAATTTCATGGAATATTTTTTTTTCAAAGACATTTTCTAAGCCTTCATAAAGACCATTGTGAATAAAAAAATTTCTGAAGAGGTTCTGTTCCTTATAAATGGTAGTCAATGGTTCTTAGAGTACTCTTACTTCACACAGAACTGTTAACCGACATTCTTGAATTTTGATTGAGCAATGATTATTCTAGTGTATAATTTTTTTAAAATTCTGTGCATGTTATACATTCATTATGATCATTATACTAAATTTTGTTTGAAGTCTAAACCTGTCATTTAATTTTCTCTCTGGAGAAATATAGTTAAAATTTATTTATCATTATTCATATTTGTTTCCAATTAAGACTTGAAAATTTGCCAGATAGATCAATATTATAAATATGGTATTTTTTTCAGAGTAATAGAGTTACTTTGAAAATGGATGTATCCCATACAGACCACTCCCATGTTATTGGCAAGGGAGGTAACAACATAAAACGGGTAATGCAGGAAACAGGATGTCATATCCACTTCCCAGACTCCAATCGGGGCAATCATGTTCAAGAAAAAAGTAATCAGGTACATTGTGATTGTAGGTATGGAAGTATCCTTTGTTGTCTCGCCTTTTGACTCCGTCAAGGCGAGACATAGGTATGCTGTTTTCGACGTCGGCGGTGGCGTCAACATTGTATTAGTTTGTGATTAGGTCTAGTTTGTGGTGAACCATTAGTGGTAGGTCAATGATATTTGGTATGCAGTTGTATTAGCATTAGCACATCTAATTTCCATTTGAGAATATTTGGCCCTGCCCATTCAGTCATGGTCTATTGAAACTTTTGCTTAGTTTACATGTATTAGTTTTTGATTAGATCAGTTTAAGATGATATTTGGTATGCAAATGTTTTGGCATTTGCAAGTTTCGTTTCCATGGAGATTATATAACTCCGAACCCCTTATCATGGTTTATTGACTTTGAAACTTTTACATAGTTGACAAGTTAATGTTTGTGTTTAGGTTTATTTAAAGGGAACGACTTATGATAAGTCAATGGTATTTGGTATACAGTTGTATTAGCATTTGCACATCTCATTTCCATGGAGATTGTTTAACCATGTACCGTCAGTCATGGTTCATTGACTTTCAATATTTGCATAACTTACATGTTAAATATTGCTAATTCTTATTTACACATTTGCATTATCAAAATTACAAAAAGGCTAGACATATCTCTGTGATAACAGTTTATTTTAGTTAAGAAAGGTTAAAAATGAAATAAAGTGTCTTGTGTTCCTTTGTGACCATAACACAACTGGATAGGACATTGGTATAAAAAAATCATGTTAAAATACTTTGAATCCATCTGGAACAAAGTTTCAAAACAACAGAGTAATATTCATACTTTAATGTTATGTTGTTATGCCTTATGGTAAAGAACTCATGGTATTAAAGTAAAGAATCTGAGCTAATTTTTGTACTCGTTACTTTGTACACCATCCTTACAATTTTTTGTTAGGTCTGTCATCCATATAATTCTTGATAAATTTTACATGTATAATACAAAATAAGTAATAAACCTGTGAATCTACCAATAGAAGGAGATGTGTAGTAACTGATGATGAGTAAACAACCCAACAATACACATTAAGCATAATAGACATATAAAGATCACCTATAGTACATTAATGTGTTTGTGGTTTTTTTTCAATTTACATGTCTGACTACATTTGTAAATGAATAAACCCTGTCCTTGATATTGAAAAGTGTTAAGAATAAAAAAGATGTAGTGTATGCATCAATGAGAAATTACCCAAAGATAAAATTCCAAAAGACAACATAAGATGAACATGAGATGCAGTCTTTAACAAATAATGTTGCCTTTTCTAATTATTTTTATGTGTAAAAAAGTAGCTATTCTGCAGCCTTGAGTCATGTGAGTTGGTAACAAATTCTTTCATCCTTTTAGGTATCAATTGCTGGACAACCTGCAGGAGTAGAAACTGCTAGGGCTCAAATTAGAGTAAGTACTACTAAGTGAAAACTACAGTAGAAATGTGTTCAAGTACAAGACATTAAGCTATTTAATTTTGGAAACAGCACCACACCATTTCAAAGCAAGATGTTTAAGGGTAAATTTCCAGTGTCTAACAAGGCATGTCTGGGTCCAAGATGACATACAATCTTACTCTAGGAAATTTGTTGGACCATCTGTATTATATAGGGAATGCACACGAGATCAATCTCTTGAACAGGGGGAAAACATTTTTTTTTTTAAATCAGCTCTTTTTACGCAAGATTCTTTTTAATCATGTCACAGATGGCAAACAAAACTTTTTTTAAGTATCATCAAATGTTAAGTGATAAAAAATAGTTTCAAGAAAAAAGATATCCTGTTCAAGAATCTGATCTTAGCATAACGTTATGGTATTAAGAAAGCCTAACTACTCAGCATACAATAATTAAGTAAAGTTAAGTGTCTGTGGTTTATATTGATGGGGAAAAAAGCAACTTTCCCATCCTTTGTAAAAGTTCAGATGAACCATAATATAAGGGATTCAAAATGAATTGTAAACAAACATAACTGCAAATTTGTTATGATTCATATAGTTATAAGTGCGAAAAAAGAATTGGAAAATATTGGTACATGTATAACAAATACCATTCCATACAGCTTATTAGGAATTCTCCATACCGTTTTATTTTAGGAATTCTCCATACAGCTTTTTAGGAATTCTCCATACAGTTTTTAGGAATTTCAATAAGTTAATAAGAGAAAAAGATTCTTCATTTCCAAATTTAGCAAAATTCCTCAAAACATTGACATGCTGAATCACTTTTGCTTCCCAAATGGCTAAAGTCTCATCCCCAACCAACTTCTCTTAGAATTCATATTCCCATTTGATTAAGAAAATAACGAAAGGGATGAATGGAATAGATAAATTCTAATTAATATGGTTGTTAAAGTTAATTTAACACTGTGGATTCATATTTTTTCATGTATACCAATTTTTATACGCCCGTTTACGGGACATATTATGGTATACCTCTGTCCGTCTGTCCGTCTGTTGTCAACATTAAAAAAAGGGTGATTTTCCAGTTTTCGGACAATAACTCAAGAATGCTTTCACCAACACGCAAGAAATTGTGGTGAATTGTTTATATCTATTGACATGAGCTCCCTTTCGATTTTTATATATTTTAGATTTTACGTTTCCGAGTTACAGGGTTTTATTCATAAAAAAAGGGGGATTTTCCAGTTTTCGGACAAAAAATCAAAAATGCTTTCAGCAGTTCTTATGAAACTTTGGTGAATTGTTTATATCTATTGATGTAAGCTCCATTTAGAATTTTATAAATTTTACATTTTACATTTCTGAGTTAGGGGGTTTTATTCATTAAAAAAGGGGGAATTTTCCAGTTTTCGGACAATAACTCAAAAATGCTATCAGCAATTCTCATGAAACTTTGGTGAATTGTTTATATCTATTGATGTAAGCTCCCTTTACATTTTCATAAATTTCTAATATGACATTGAGAATTAATTGAACTTTAATTGTTTATAGTCTGACAACAGATTTACTAAGTATTGCACAACAGCACAGTGTATTGCACAACAGCAAGAAATCTTTAATTGAATATAAATTCAATTCATATAACCAATTTCAAGTTCTGATTACATTTATTCAGAAACCTATAATATGTCAAATATTTAATACAATCCAAATTCAGACCTGTATCAAGCTTGAATATTGTGTCCATTTTTGCCCCAATTGTTCAGGGTTGGACCTCTGCGGGCGTATCCAGCTGCGCTCAGCGAAGCAGTTTATTGTGAATTGGGGAAAAGGAGTTAGGAAAATTTTATTTTTGAGGATATTTAGTGGGATTTGCTTAAAAGATGCATACAAGCCTTAATTGTACTTCGTTGAACATTTAAATTTAAGAAATAATTCATGGAAGCCATAGATTTGTTGGAAATTTACACATGGCCTGGGCCGTGATATTCAAATTTTATCCTGAGCGTTAGCGAGGGATCAAATTAACGAATTTCATGACCCAGGCCATGACTAAATTTACAACAAATCTATGGCTTCCATGAATTATTTCGATTCTAATAGGACAAATACGGTCATTAAAAAACAGAAGCGAGGGTGGGATTGCTGTGTGTGGCTGTTCTTTTTTACTCCCATTTAGATAAAGCTAAAACATTCTAATGAATCTGTAGCTTGCATGAATTAGTTTGTAAATAACCACTAGAAAAAATGTGCTTTATTCTGTTCATTCTCAAGCCCAACATTTGCCATTTTTAGTTTACATGTTTTTCTCGTAAGCTACCGTCAAATCCAAGGTTGACATTTCGTAACTAAGGAGCCGCCATGTTGACTTGCTGAAATCAGTAAATATGCAAAAAACGCGACAATAGAGAAAATAAAACAACACCTACCTCAAATATTCATTTCAATGTAATATTATACGAATTTTATGGTTCACGTAATGGAAAAACCTTCAGCTTTAGCGTTTTCATTTGTATGACGTCAGTTTTTGAAATGACTAAAATATGCCAAAAGCATTAATGGACTTTCGCGGCTTTTTATTTTATTTTGATTTCGTCGATTTCTCCGAGCTCTTTTGGATTAATTCTTTTTGTTATGCATCAGAATAAAAATAAAAGTGCTGTAGTCTTTTTTCAATTGCTAATTTTATAACAATAAAATCGGCATAGCGTTTGCAAATAGGTTCCGATACATGTGGATTTACATGGGAGGGATATTGTAACATCCATTATTATGTATATCTCTGAGTCTGCGCTAAGTATAGATATATTGAGAATTTTATCACGGTGTTGTTTACAAAGCGAAAGAAGAACATCATATGGGAATTGTGGTTAACCTATACCTATGAAATCCAAGAAAATTAGTATCCCAGGAATAATAACGAATCCACAGTATATAAGTATTCACATTTCCCTTATAAACCTTTCAACTAGGTTCAAATCCAAAAGTAAATTAAATACTGAAACCTGTCTTAAATAATCATTTTCAGATTTGAAATTATTTCCCTATGAAAAGTGGCAACATGTTGTATTAAAAGTGATTGAAGTGCTGACTTTAAAAGATGGTATCTATGTGACAAGGAGTCTATTTAGATTAAAAAAGCTATTGTATTTCTGCATTTTGTACATTTCAACTATTTCTTGTTGATATTACCAGCATATTGAAGGTACAGTTGTCAATTTCATGGCTGTGAAAATATGGTAATAAACTGTAGTTCATCTGTTTCACTAGAGATAACTCTCATTCTTTTCCCATCAGTTGTAACTGAAAAGTAATAAAATAATTAAAAACAGCTTCGTATTACTCTTGTTGTGTAACATTTAACAGATGATTATTTACTTAGAAAATAGAATGGTGGTTTTGTAAAGTAAAAATCAGCTGTAAATCAGTAATGGTTGGCAGGAGGATTGTGGATCTATTCAAAGAATAAAAAATGTGTTGATTTTAATCAGTTAGATGTTCCTCATTAATACTAGTCCAGTGATCTCAAAAATCAATTTAAACAGCAAAAAAAAAAAAAAACTGTAATGCAGAAATAGCTTTCGCTGTTGGTTTAAGTACACATAACTGTTTTTGCCTCTGATTAGGTGCATTTACACCTTTTCTTAAACAATTGGTAGTAACATACTGTGGATTCATTATTATTCGTTGGATACCAATTTTCGTGGATTAAATGTTCAACAAATGGCAAATATACTATAGGCTTGTATGCAGACATTGTCAAAAACCACGAAATTAAATATCCACGAACATGTAAGTTTTCCTGAATCCACGAAAATTGGTACCCACGAAAATAAATGAATCCACAGTAGCACATATGTCTTGGTGAAAGTCCTCTATTTTTGCCTTTAACAAAAGTTATACTATAGTGTTGATGCTTTTTTTTGGTTGTGTTATGGTTGAATGCATTCTAAACTATTTTGGTTGTGTTATGGTTGAATTAATTATAAAATTGTCTAGACTTACAATTAAGAGCATTTTTGTAGCCAGGGGGCATATGTCCTTCATGGATCAACTAAGACTTGTGTTCTTTATATAGATGTATAACATGGGAGATTGTTCAGTAGAAATGTTTAACAGGAGATGATGTTCTGTATACCTCAATGAGTTGGAACTGAACTACAGAACAGTATTCAATTTCATAGACATTTTGTTGAAGTAAATATTTTATAGATGAAAAATTCATGTTTTAGGAACTACTGCCATTAGTGTTCATGTTTGAACTTCCTGTAACTGGTCTAACACCTGATTCATCTTCACCATTAGTACAACAACTTCAGCAACAGTACACAATATCTGTCACGTTCCGTCAGAGACCCAGAGCATACACAACTACTGTAGTTGTTAGAGGCACAGTCTGTAATGCTAAATCTGTAAAGGAAGGAACATTAAGACTTATGGAACAACTGACAGCAACTTCTGGGGTATCTACAGATAGTATATTTATACATTTGATATTAAACTTTGAATAAACTTTCTTTTTAACTATAGTATAAATATAAAGTCTTGATAATGCAGGAGTCTACTACACAAAAAACATATTTTTATGTCTTTATCTAAAAAAAAAAAAAAAAAAAACAATGAAAAGAAATAAGAGTCTTTTAGAACTTTCTGTAGTTAACCTATTGTTTAATAGCTTAGTTTTATGACAGAAAAATCCTCTTATAAATTTTGGGAAGTATGATGGGCAGCTCCAGCTGTTTAAGTGAAATAACCTGAACATTTTTCAATCAATGCCTTTTAAATTATTGTCTTGTCTGCGACAAAAGTTGAATAATCTACATGGTTGGTCTGTTTATCATATTCTTTGAGCAATAGGGTCAACCATTTTTATACGACCGCAAAAATTGAAAATTTTTTGGTCGTATATTGGTATGACGTTGGCGTCGTCGTCGTCGTCGTCCGAAGACACATTGGTTTTCGCACTCTAACTTTAGTTTAAGTGAATGGATCTCCATGAAATTTTACCATAAGGTTCAATACCACGAAAGGAAGGTTGGGATTGATTTTGGGGTTATAGTACCAACAGTTAAGGAATTAGGGGCCAAAAAGGGGCCAAAAATAAGCATTTTTGTAACTTCCAGACAATAACTTGTGTGTAAGTGTATGGATCTCTCTGACATTGTACCACAAGGTTCCATATCACAAAAGGAAGGCTGTAATTGATTTTGGGGGTAATTGCCTCAAAATTTTAGGAATTAGGGGCCAAAAAAAGGGGCAAAAAACAAGCATTTTTCTAGTTTCATGACAATAACTTGTGTGTAAGTGTTTGGATATTTTCTGAAATTATACTACAAGGTTCCATATCACAAAGGGAAAGCTGGAATTGAGTTTGGGGGTAATTGCCCGAAACGTTTAGGAATTGGGGGCCAAAAAGGGGCCAAAAATAAGCATTTTTCTAGTTTCCAGACAATAACTTGTGTTCAAGTGTATGGATCTCTCTGAAATTGTACTGCAAGGTACCATACCACAAAGGAAAGGCTGGGATTGAGTTTGGGGGTGATGAATCATAAGGGGGTTCATAAATTTGGGGGGAGGGGATTTTTTTTTTTTCCTTTTTTTTTCTTTTTTTCCTTTTTTAGCTCACCTGACCTGAAAGGTCAAGTGAGCTTTTCTCATCACTTTGCGTCCGTCGTCCTGCGTCTGTCGTCCGTCGTCCGTAAACTTTTACAAAAATCTTCTCCTCTGAAACTACTGGGCCAAATTTGACCAAACTTGGCCACAATCATCATTGGGGTATCTAGTTTAAAAAATATGTCCGGTGACCCGGCCAACCAACCAAGATGGCCGCCATGGCTAAAAATAGAACATAGGGGTAAAATGTAGAATTTGGCTTATATCTCTGAAACCAAAGCATTTAGAGCAAATCTGATATGGGGTAAAATTGTTTATTAGGTCAAGATCTATCTGCCCTGAAATTTTCAGATGAATCTGACAACCCGTTGTTGGGTTGCTGCCCCTGAATTGGTAATTTTAAGGAAATTTTGCCGTTTTTGGTTATTATCTTGAATATTATTATAGATAGAGATAAACTGTAAACAGCAATAATGTTCAGCAAAGTAAGATCTACAAATAAGTCAACTTGACCAAAATGGTCAGTTGACCTCTTAAGGAGTTATTGCCCTTTATAGTCAGTTTTTAACCATTTTTCGTAAATTTTTGTAATCCTTTACAAAAATCTTCTCCTCTGAAACTACTAAGACAAATTTAACCAAACTTGTCCCCAATCGTCATTAGGGTATCTAGTTTAAAAAATGTGTCCGATGACCCCGCCCGCGAACCAAGATGGCAGACATGGCTAAAAAATAATACATAGGGTAAAATGCAGTTTTTGGCTCATATCTCTGAAACCAAAGCATTTAGAGCAAATCTGATGGGTTAAAATTGTTCATTAGGTCAAGATCTATTTGCCCTGAAATTTTCAGACCAATCAGGCAACACGTTGTTGGGTTGCTGCCCCTGAATTGGTAATTTTAAGAAAATTTTGCCGTTTTTGGTTATTATCTTGAATATTATTATAGATAGAGATAAACTGTAAACAGCAATAATGTACAGCAAAGTTAGATCTACAAATAAGTCAACATGACCAAAATTGTCAATTGACCCCTTAAGGGGTTATTGCCCTTTATAGTCAATTTTTTACAATTTTCATAAATTTTGTAAATTTTTGTAAATTTTTACAATATATTTTCCACTGTAACTACCGGGCCAAGTTCATTATAGATAGAGATAATAGTAAGGAGAAAGAATGTTCAGTAAAGTAAGATCTACAAACACATCACCATCACCAAAACACAATTTTGTCATGAATCCATCTGTGTCCTTTGTTTAATATGCACTTAGACCAAGGTGAGCGACACAGGCTCTTTAGAGCCTCTAGTTTTTCTTTTAAAATTTTCCATTTTAAGTTGGTTATTTCTGATTATTTATATTTAAAAGCAAATAATAATGATATGGTAGGAGATACACACCAAACAGGATCGTAAATTATTATATAATAAGTATTGTACAATAGCAAGAAATTTTCAATTGCACAGTATTGCACAATTGCAAGAAATCTTCAATTGCACAGTATTGCGCAATAGGAAGAAATCTTCAATTGCACAGTATTGCGCAATAGCAAGAAATATTCAATTGCACAGTACATGCAGTATTGTGCAAAAGAAGATACTTCCTATAAATTGCTTATTTCTTGATCAATTTCAATGGGGTTTTATTCTTGAATTCTTGGGGTTCTTTAATATGCTGAATCTAATCGTGTATTAAGTTTTTTGATTTTGGGCCCCATTTTTAAATTGGTCCACATTGAGGTCCAAAGGACCAAAATTTAACTTTGTTTGATTTCATCAAAAATTGAATTATTGGGGTTCTTTGATATGCTGAATCTAACCGTGTATTTAGATTCTTAATTTTTGGTTCCGTTTTCAAATTGGTCTACATAAACGTCCAAAGGGTCCAAAATTAAACTTAGTTTGATTTTAACAAAAATTGAATTTTTAGGGTTCTTTGATATGCTGAATCTAAACATGTATTTAGATTTTTGATTATGGGCCCAGTTTTCAAGTTGGTCCAAATCGGGGTCCAAAATTAAACTTTGTTTGATTTCAACAAAAATTGAATATATGGGGTTCTTTGATATGCTGAATCTAACCATGTATTTAGATTTTTGATTTTTGGGCCCCATTATCAACTTTGTCCACATTGAGATCAAAAGGGTCCAAAATTAAACTTTGTTTGATTTCATCAAAAATTGAATTCTTGGGGTTCTTTGATATGCTGAATCTAACCATGTATTTAGATTTTGGATATTGGACCATAATAGGTGAATGTCCAATTTAAAATTTTTAAGTTCTTAGACCACATTCATTCTGTGTCAGAAACCTATGCTGTGTCAAATATTTAATCACAATCCAAATTCAGAGCTGTATCAAGCTTGAATGTTGTGTCCATACTTGCCCCCAACTGTTCATGGTTCGACCTCTGCGGTCGTATCAAGCTGCGCCCTGCGGAGCATTTTATTGGTGTATGGAATGATTGTAATGTGTACATGCATGCTGTGTAGCAGGGTTGATATTACCTTGAGCTAAATTTCATGGATCATTGATAATGTTGAGTTTCTGAGATACCTGTAGTGAAACCTTTAATGTAAAGACTTCTGCTTGTTATATGTTGATAATTTTGACAAAATGGAGGTCAAGTTTGATATTGGATATTTTCACTTTTGCCTTCCTGGAGTTATTGTAGTCCTTGATTGATTGGGAAATTGGACTTTGTCTTTTCAATGCAATAATTTGAGGACCATTCATCCTAGCTTTTCAAATTTTAATTTTTAGTTACTGATGACAAAACGGAGGTCAAGTTCGATATTAAAGATTTTTACCTTTGTCGTTCAGGAGTTATGGTACTTGCTTTATTATGGAATAGCATTTTATATAAAAATAAGGAGGTGTGGTATGATTGCCAACGGGACAACTCTCCACAAGAATTCAAATTAAGTGGACAAAAAATTATAGGTTAATGTGTGGCTTCAAAATCGAGAAAAACCCATACTGTATAGTCAGCTATAAAAGGCCCAGAAATGTGAAACAATTCAAACAAGAAAACAAACAGCCCAATTTGTAATAGTACAATTTAAAAAAAAAACCAATTATGACATACATGATTCACTGAATTGCAGGCTCCTGACTTGATACAGGCTCATAAAGAATTTGTGGTAGATAAACCTTTTTTGTTAGTGCTTTTATGTCGTTTTCATTGTTATAACTAGATGCTCGAAACAATCCTTTTCAAATATTTAAAATGTGTTGTTTCTCAATGGAGGTCTGTATTGGATTTGAATTTTTTTTACTTTAACCATGCTGGTATTCTGATCCTTTATTGCTTTTACAATGATATTAATAAATGTAAGAAAAGCCTAGTTTGCTGTCATCTTTTTGTTATAAATTCTTATGGTATAGACACTTATCTATTGTGGATGTATTTTCTGTGTTTGTTGATGTTTTGGGGTTTTAGTCTTAAATAATTTATAACTGGTTACCATTTATATGTAAGGAAACAGAATTTCTAGTTAAACAAACAGACACTTGCACCCACTTATACAAACAGCTGAAAGAGAAACTAATCATCAGTTGTTTAAAGATTTCTCATATGCATGTACTTAAGATTATATTTCCATTCAATCATCTTTCACAATGCATGCAGTATTTTGTTTACAAAAAGGTGTTTGATATGTAAATAGTCTGCAAGAAGTTGTTACAGGAAGAGGAAAGTGGTTAAAAAAAGAATATGCTTATGGTTAATTGACATGCTTATTTCAAATGCATTAATTACATATTGAAGCAATTTGCACCTATCTTTAATATTAAATCAATAGACTTAGACATCTGGAGAAACTTAATAAAATCAATTAGTGCATGTGTGTTTTTGAGGATAAGGTACTTTATAAGTAATGAGCTTAATGGTTTCAAAATTTAGATGATCAGATCTATATGAATTTATAGAACTGCATGTTGAAGTTTGTAGGTATTAGTAGGGAAAAGGACTTTGAAAACATTATGCTTAGTTTTATGTTTTGCCATTTTTTTTTTAATCACACAGATAAAAAAATGCTATTTTTATACGACCGCAAAAAAATTTTGTGGTCATATATTGGTATGACGTTGGCGTCGTCGTCGTCGTCGTCGTCCGGCGTCGTCGTCCGAATACATATTGGTTTTCGCACTCTAACTTTAGTTTAAGTGAATGGATCTTTTTGAAATTTGACCATAAGGTTAAATACCACAAAAGGAAGGTTGGGATTGATTTTGGGGGTTATGGTACCAACAGTTAAGGAATTAGGGGCCAAAAAGGGGCAAAAAATGAGCATTTTCTAGTTTCCAGACAATAACTGTGGAACGGTGTATGGATCTCTCTGAAATTATACTACAAGTTTCCATACCACAAAGGGATGGTTAGGATTTGCTTTGGGGGGTTATGGCTCAAACTGTTTAGGAATTAGGGGCAAAAAAGGGGGAAAAACAAGGTTGTCCTGGTTAATGGACAAATACTTTAGTACAAAACATAATTTAAAGCAGTGTAAGGGAGATAAATCAAATACATCATTGAAATTATCTCCCTTACACTGCTTTTAAATTATGTATAAAGTAATGGTTAATGAACAATAAAGATAATCTAAAACAGTGTAAGGGAGGTAATCCAAATACAACGTTTTGGTTACTTCCCTTACACTGCTTTTAAATTATGTTTAAAGAAATGCATATTTATAAAGGAAGACCAGTAAAAATATCTGCAAATGTTTTCATCTTTTTTTTTTACAAAAAAATCCATATGAAAGATTTGACACTATATTTTTATTAATTCTATTATAAAATAGATTAAGTTAGCACTATGGTAAATTTAAATGGGTAATTATGGTTGCCAACTCCATTGGAAATTTGAATTGAGATTATGACCATATCTTGAGGGAAAGAATTTTTTTGGGGGAAAAAGGGGGGGGGGATAAAAAGAAATTGTGGGGGGCCAATTTTTTCTCATTTCAGATTTCAGAAATTAAAAAGAATTATTCTTCAAATATTATTTTTTTTTCAAATTTTAAATATTGAAAAATTTCAAGAAGTAATCTTTAATTGCACAGTATGGCGCATTAGATTTGTAAAATCTTTGATCACATTTATTTATTTGTTATGCCGAATCTAACAGTGTATTTAGATTTTTAATTTTGGGTCCAGTTTTCAAATTGGTCTACATTAATGTCCAAAGGGTCCAAAATTAAACTTTGTTTGATTTTAGCAAAAATTGAATATATGAGGTTCTTTGATATGCTGAATCTAAACATGTATTTAGATTTTTGATTTTTGGCCCAGTTTTCAAGTTGGTCCAAATTGGGGTCCAAAATTAAACTTTGTTTGATTTCAACAAAAATTGAATATATGGGGTTCTTTGATATGCTGAATCTAACCATGTATTTAGATTTTTTATTTGTGGACCCGTTATCTAATTGGTTCATATTGAGGTCAAAAGGGTCCAAAATTAAACTTTGTTTGATTTCATCTAAAATTGAATTATTGGGGTTCTTTGATATTCCAAATCTAACCGTGTATTTAGGTTTTTAATTTTGGGTCCTGTTTTTTAAATTGGTCTACATTGAGGTCCAAAGGGTCCAAATTAAACTTAGTTTGATTTTAACAAAAATTGAATTCTTGGGGTTCTTTGATTTGCTGAATCTAAACATGTGTTTAGATTTTTGATTATGGGCCCAGTTTTCAAGTTGGTCCAAGATAGGGTCCAGTATTTAAACTTTGTTTGATTTCAACAAAAATTGAATATATGGGGTTCTTTGATATGCTGAATCTAAACATGTATTTAGATTTTTGATTATGGGCCCAGTTTTCAAGTTGGTCCAAATTGGGGTCCAAAATTAAACTTTGTTTGATTTCAACAAAAATTGAATATATGAGGTTCTTTGATATGCTGAATCTAACCATGTATTTAGATTTTTTATTTGTAGGCCCCGCTATCAAATTGGTTCATATTGAGGTCAAAAGGGTCCAAAATTAAACTTTGTTTGATTTCATCGAAAATTGAATTATTGGGGTTCTTTGATATGCCAAATCTAACCGTGTTTTTAGATTTTTAATTTGGGTCCCGTTTTTTAAATTGGTCTTCATTGAGGTCCAAAGGGTCCAAAATTAAACTTAGTTTGATTTTAACAAAAATTGAATTCTTTGGGTTCTATGATATGCTGAATCTAAACATGTGTTTAGATTTTTGATTATGGGCCCAGTTTTCAAGTTGGTCCAAGTTGGGGTCCAAAATTATACTTTTTTTGATTTCAACAAAAATTGAATATATGGGGTTCTTTGATATGCTGAATCTAACCATGAATTTAAATTTTTTATTTGTGGGCCCCGCTATCAAATTGGTTCATATTGAGGTCAAAAGGGTCCAAAATTAAACTTTGTTTGATTTCATCAAAAATTGAATTATTGGGGTTCTTTGATATTCCAAATCTAACCGTGTATTTAGATTTTTAATTTTAAGTCCCGTTTTTTAAATTGGTCTACATTAAGGTCCAAAGGGTCCAAAATTAAACTTAGTTTGATTTTAGCAAAAATTGAATTCTTGGGGTTCTTTGATATGCTGAATCAAACATGTGTTTAGATTTTTGATTATGGGCCCAGTTTTCATGTTTGTCCAAGTTGGGGTCCAAAATTAAACTTTGTTTGATTTTAACAAAAATTGAATATATGGGGTTCTTTGATATGCTGAATCTAACCATGTATTTTGATTTTGGACATTGGACCATAATAGGTAAATTAAAAAAATTCAAGTTCTTAGACCACATTCTTTCTGTGTCAGAAACCTATGCTGTGTCAAATATTTAATAACAATCCAAATTCAGAGCTGTATCAAGCTTGAATGTTGTGTCCATACTTGCCCCAACTGTTCAGGGTTCGACCTCTGCGGTCGTATCAAGCTGCGCCCCAGCGAAGCATTTTATTAATTTTTCAGTTCCAAAACCTTTATGCACTTTATAACTTTGAAACTGAATGAAAAGTTTCTTGAACTAGAACATTTTGTATACAGAGAAATCTGAAGGCTACAAAGTCCATCCATGTGGTGTATTGTATATTTAAGTAGTTTCCCTAAATCTTTCTTTGTTTATTTTAAAAATTCTAAAAACTTTTAAAATTAAAAACAGAAAAAAAAATGTTTTCATTCACATGGAAAAATGCCTACTGGTACATTTTAATGTAAGACAATTTTTGCTGTTATATTTTCAGGTATCACTACCAGTAAGCATGCAGCTAGAGATAGCACCACAACACCACCTCTTTATTATAGGCAGAGGGGGTATGAATATCAAACAGATTATGCAACAAACTGGAGCCAGTATACATTTCCCTGACCCCAACACAGTCACACCACCCAGAAAGGGTACAGTTTATGTTACAGGCAGTATTGAAAGTGTATTCATGGCAAGACAGCATTTAATTGTAAGTCAGAAAGTTAATCATTAATTTATCAAGTAAAAGGTTACAAGCACAGAGTGACTCCAGAATATGATTAACCCTTAATTGGAAGATACTGAACCAGCTATGTGAATAGGGAAATAAAAAAATCTACGAGACAGGCATATGAACACATGAAATGATAAACAAACAAACTCTTTTTCATTTCATGGTACTAAAAGCTTGTTTTCTAAAATTACAAGAAAGTTTCCAATTGGCCTATCGATTTTTTGAGTTGTGCTTTTAATTATTTTATTACTTCATCAGCTGACATTATGTTTTATGTAGATAAATTGGAGAATGAAATGTTTATGCAGTAAATAAGCTTCTTGTAGAATTGAATTTAGAATTTACTGAACAGATCATAAATTAATTAAAAACTGTTCTGTTTAGCAGAAATATTATTTCACAAATCTAATAACTGATAATCATGATAATTGAAATTGGATTTTATATTTGAAATTTTATATGAAATGAAAAGGACAAACTCTGCTCTGAAATACCTCCGCTCTGAAATACCAGTTTTTGCCTTAGAAAGTAATATTGTTAGTTTTCATTAATTACTGTTTTTTATGTATCTATTATACAATCAAAATGGATGTAATGAACTCATTAAAAAACATAATTTCCAAAGTTCCTAGTAAGAAAAAACTTTTATTTCCTAGTAATTTGGCTTAGATTAGAACAACCAGCACTTGATAAAGGACAATAAATGTGGTATGTGGTATTATTAACTGTTGGGTTAGAACAAAAATGTCATGTACCAAAAGAACTTTTTAGTTGAATTAAATAAGATGATTCATGTAATCTTGAGTTGATATGGTTAACCAATGTCTTTTTATACTGTTCAAGTTAATGCTTTTAACATTATTCAATATAATTTGAAGGAATAAAGTAAAGTTTTAGAATTGTTCTTCATGCCCACCAACATTTCTTCATTAGTCTTAATACCTTGAATTTAAGATAATTGCCTAACTCCACATATAACAAACATTTATGTCAGACATGGGTGATACGTTGTTACCCAGAAAAAAAATATCTACATTTGGAACACTGAAATTATCACCGTTTCATAATCTTTCATGTCTAAGCAATGCTGATAGAAAGAAAAAAGAAAGTAAATTGCTTTTCCTAGTGAAAAGTATATTTGAAAAAAAACCTTGGGATTCATCTGACAAGAATTATCACACAAATGTACATACTTAATTATATTACAGGGTTGCCTCCCTTTGGTTCTGATGTTTGATGTTAAAGATGAAATTGAGATTGACCAAGGTATGTTTGCTTAAATATTGAAAAAAAAAATTTAAAAAGTTATTCTGAATGCTACATAAATTCCATGACTATTCATTTAAATATATATGATTCTGAAACCACATCACATTTTGAAAAAAATGGATTTAAAAAGGATCACAATTCATAATTTTTTATCCTGTGGTTTTCAGGGCTTATAATTTGATATACAAGATGTCAAGGCTTAAAAATTGATGTACAAGATTTATACTTAGTTAATTTTGTGAATGACAGTACTTTTAAAATTCTGTTTGTGATTTTGTGATGGTTGTGAGTTAAAACAGAAATGTTCACATAGACAGTTCTAAATATATATTACATGGTTGTTTCCCCTTTTTTAACAAGAAAGTGACAATGTTGTCAAAATATCAGTTGGATTTGATAAAAATGGTATTTGTGACACAGTATTGCATTGTCTGGTCATTAACAAAAGCTTAGTGGAAAAAAGGAACACAGTGTATTAATTCATGGGACAAAATCAATGCATTCACTGAACAAAATGCAAAGGAAAGGAACGGTGCTTTTATTGCACTTCTTAATCTCAAAGCAACAGGCTTTTAACTTGGAGCAATAGCTTACATCTCTCTTGAAGTACAAGAAGCATAGGGCCTGAATTGAATTGAATAAAATTGAGAATGGAAATGGGGAATGTGCAAAGAGACAACAACCCGACCATAGAGCAGACAACAGCCGAAGGCCACCAATGGGTCTTCAATGCAGCGAGAAACTCCTGCACCCGGAGGCGTCCTTCAGCTGGCCCCTAAACAAATATGTATACTAGTTCAGTGATAATGGACGTCATACTAAACTCCAAATTATACACAAGAAACTAAAATTAAAAATGATACAAGACTAACAAAGGCCAGAGGCTCCTGACTTGGGACAGGCGCAAAAATGCGGCGGGGTTAACCATGTTTTTTGAAGCACACATAAGTGAAATGACATCAACAAACCAGGTCAATATAAAAAATAATGTCATTTGCCTGACAAAAGTAGTCATAAAATACAGAGACAATACAAACATTAAGATAAGCACCAAGTATTTTAAGTTATTTGTTAGAAAATTTGCAAGGAAATAATGTAAGAATTGAGTTTATTTTTTGGATTGACAGCATAAAAAATTCACTACATGTATAGACAATGACCAAACTATATCATAGACAGAAAGGAAAAACAGTAAAGTGGTACACTTAAGAGAAGTTATCTTATATTATGAACAAATATGTCAGCCAGTTTGTTAAAAAAACACCATTGTACTTGAATGTCGTTTATGTTAACCCAGTATCTCATTATTTCATAATTATTAATTAACACATATACATGTATTGTAATTTCAGGAAAGATAACCCAGTTGATGGAACATTTAGATGTATTTATTAGTGTTAAACCAAAACCAAAACAACCAAGCAAGGTAACTAAATGTTAAGTCTATTTTCATTTTGATTGGAATTTTCTTTGATTTTAATTTAAACTAACACATCATGATACACCTACACTGAAATTGTTATAGTTTTATCCCAGAATAATAGTCCAGTTACAAAAAGACTGGAGCTAGTACAAGAGCTGGTCTACATATAAAACAAAATTGTTAGGAAATAACTAATATGTCCAAAGAACAGAACTTTTTTCATTTTATATCTTTACATTTGTTGGAGCATCTTCAACAATGAACTGAAAACCCAAGCTCTTATCACATGGTCAGGATTTTACAAGAGTCTCTCTTTGACACCCACTTCATATTTTATGCTTATAGAAGGAAAGCATGCTGTTTGCCTCAGTTTATCATCCAAGGCCTGATAATAGGACTATGATCATAATAACTACATTTCAAACAAAAAGACTTACAAAAGGCTACATGACAACCTTAGTAGAAAAACTTGACAAAGAAAACTAAGGCTGAATTGAGCACTTACATTTTATATATTTTATATGAAAATTAAAATATCTAATGAATTGATAGATAGAAAGACGTTTAACATTTAAACAAAAAATCACATAAGAGTATTGTATATTCAGTCCTGATTTTTCAGAATTGTGGTGCAAAAATTTGTCTTTATATAAGAATATGGACTTATATTAAAATCCAAATTTGAATGGATGAAAAAGTATGAATTTGCTTAGTTTATAAAACCATTATAGAATCTAAATTGACTTATAAATTTCAAAGTTATATGGGTTTTAAATTGAATTTTGTTCACTGAATTGTTTGTTGTTTTGTTTTTTTCTATACAATAGATCGTTATTTATCAATATAAGTTATAATGACATCACTATTGAAATTGATTAATTTTCTTCTTATTATATCATTGCAGAATAATTGATAAAAGTCATTATTAACAGTTTTGTGTGTTATAAATCAGACTTTATTTAGTTTTTTTTATTTTTCAGTCTGTGATTGTTAAAAGTATTGAGAGAAATGCACCAAACATGTACTTAGCAAGACTGACCCTGCTGGGTCTGAAGAAAGATGAGAAGAATTTCCCTCCGTCCTGTTCTACAAATAGTCCTTTTCCAAACCTGTCTCCAAATAATGGCCTGGGCCTGTCGGCATTAGGTATGTGTGGTGTTCATTTAAGTGCTAACCTAGTGATGTCCTCAGAACATACGATTTGAATGCATTCTTATTTTCACAAGAATTTATGTCTAATTTTATTGTTTATACATTCAGGCATATAACAGTTTGTCTTGTTAGAATAGATGATCAACAGTTTAAATAGTTGAACCTTAAGTTGGTCTTCTTTTCTTATATATAGGAAAAGATCTCTAAGAAATGTTCAGCATATCTGTATGTGTAAAATATTGATTTTTTTTACTTTAGGGTTGTTTGGTCCAGGGTTGATATCTGTAAATACAACGAATTCACTGCTGATGTTAAATGGACACAGTCCAAATACCTTAGGAAGTCAACAAAGTAGTCCCAATGGACAAAGTCCACAAGTCAACTGGGTTTCTGCAGCTCCATGTAAGTGCAGTAACTAGTGTTTTAAGGTTTCTAATCAAGTGTGACTGTTCTTTTCTGGTGAATCTGTTAATCTTTTACTTGTTTTTTTTTTGTGTAACAGTTCTTTATATTTAACTACTGTAAGTTCAGAAATTATTGCAATGTTTTTATTATTGCTAAAAATGCAACAGGGTTATAATCGCATCAATTTAAACTTCATTTTGAAATTTTTATATGAATTAAACAGGATTTTTCTCAATATCGCAAAAATTAAAATTGCATTTCAGTCTAAAATGACAAAATCGCAATAACAAATGCACGCAATAATTTCTGAATTTACAGTAACAATTATCATGATTAGTAATTTCCAGTTGGAAATGTTACTTATATTTCATATGATAGAAGATATCATGTTTGGTTCTAGACTTGGATGCTTATTTTAACCTGTTATTCTGAAGTCAAGTTAAAGAAACCGAATTCTTTTTTCTATTACAAGAGTTAAATTGACTGAATTGCACTTGAAACAAAACGTATTGCCTAAAATCTAAAGATGTTCAGTCACTATTTAGACTCTATTTTAGGTCTGTAATTGGTTTTACAGAAACTGTATTGGTGTAATTGGTGTATGTTAATTATGATTAATAAAAATTATACTTTAAGGTATATATCCTCCTATGATGGTGTTAAACACCCCGGTGGTACCTACATCCGTCCAGTCACAGTTAGAACTCCTGTCTCAGTGTAATGCTGAATTACAGAAAGAATTAAGTCAAAATGGAGGCATTAAACAAGCCTCTGTCTCAGTAAATCAAGGTAAGTGTTGGTAATTTGAACATAGTCTTTAGCTAGAACCTAAACCATACTTCTGTTAATCTGTTTTCCTGCAAGTTGGCTATTTCAATTTCATTTCATCAAGACCAGTTTAAGAAAAACAAGTATTTAAACCATCATTGCTCAGATTAAATAGATTAAAATGAGGTTTAAATTGTAATAACCAACTGGAAGAAAACTGGAAAACATTTGCAAGGGTTTGATACATTACTACAATGCTTTACAGTTGTGGACTCAGGATTTTGAAAAAATTGGCCCCACCAAGCCAATGTTTGGAGTGGGGCTTGTAAAAAGTCTATGCATTAACCATAGTTTTATAATGGGCCCTACCACTAGATCCCAGTCTACTTTAATAAGGGCTGTAGCAGAAATGAATGCTCTGTTGAGCCAGGAGGCTAATTTTACATAGTTTTTAATTATTTGTTTCATAAGTCTATTGCTGTTTAATGAATTTATGTTTTGATCATTATCATTTTTTAAACATAAAACTTGGACTGATTTACCATATCACTTCAAGGGGAAATATAGACCTCCTACCAAAAAAAATAATAATCCCAAATAAAAAAAATAATGATAAAATAAAAGCTATTTAAGCTTTGAGTTCACCTTAACTGACTTTTTCCTTGTGAAGTCTTTAGGTTTAATTAGTTTTATTTTGTAATGGATGTCTTTTTTATAGTGCCAAGTAACAATCAAAGTGAATCAAATAGTCCCTCCAGTAGTCCCCATGAGAAAGGTCAGATGGGCAGAAGTCAGTCTGCTGGTATGTAAAAGTAGCAAAGTCTATAGAAGTTAATCTAGTTTTACCACGCTCCTTCAAGTCAGGCTGAACTAGCCTTTTTGAATTGTTATATCTACCAATAGCCAAATGCCACTGGACTCCCCAGAAGAAATTGTTAACCCTGTTTATTGTAAGAAAATAGTTAGTCATACATAGAATAGTTAGTAAGTAGTTTATTTTTCAAAAGTGAAAAAAGATATTTGGTATTGGTCCTTAATACAACACTAAATTCAACAGATGTCTTATTCAATAAGTGCTATATTGCTTTCAGTCAAAGAAAATTTGATTAAAGGAGAAAGTTCATTGTAGGACTTATTTTAGCCTTGTGAGTTACTCAAAATATAAAAACTTGAATGATATAAAAATAAGAAGATGTGGTATAATTGCCAATGAGACAACTCTGCACCAGAGACCAAATGACATAGTAGTTAACAACTATAGGTCACTTTACCGCCTTCAACAATGAACAAAACCCATACAGCATAGTCAGCTATAAAAGGCTCCAAAACCTTGGTTTAACATGTTAGGGGGCACCCAACCCTCTCCCTAACCTGGGAAAGTGAACAAAAATCAGTTGAAAAGGGCTTAACTCATCAGATCGATACCAAGAGAAAATCAAGTAACAAAAACAGACTTGACACCATTATTGGTTACATTTTAAACTGGCTAAATATAAGCATTTATTAAAATGTAAACATTATGATTGCCATGATGACACAATTTGATGTGATGTAATAGCAAGGATTAACCTAATTTTAGCAAGAAATAGATTAATTTCAAGAACATTTTTAGATTTGGCGTAGATCACAAGCATCACCAAAATGATTTCTGTCAGCAAGTAGATAACCACAAAATATACTTCCTGTACAAATATTATTTTTGGACGAGGGATGTGCTCTGTGATATACCATTGCATGTTTGAGTCAACAGTCATGATTTTTTTCTCTTGATAATTTAATGAATTTACTGTCTTTTCATGGCTGTGTTACCCATGAAGAACAAGTATTGTAAACTGAAATAAAAAAAAAATAAAATTGTATTTTTGTTTTGATGACGGTTGTTGTTAGAAAGTTTTCATGATTTGATATTGAAGTTTTGTCTGGTAAAGATACATATACAGTTATCAATCCTGGTTATGTTAATTCAACATTGGTGCCAACCAAACCTATCAAAAAGCACTCCATATTTACAAAATGTTATATCAAAAGTCATAGTTCCAGTGAGAAATCATCACTTTTGAAAAACATGGAAGACATCTGAGAGAGAATATATCAGAATCCTTTTACAGAGGAGTTCATTACTGATCTTCCAAAAGTATACCAAAGATTAATGGGTTATTATAACTTTATGAAATGGACCTTAACTGTTACTATTGAGTGAAAGTTACTACCATGTATTTGCTTCACATAGCATTCCCAACAGATGAGACATGAGCAATTAAAAACATGAAATCAAAATCTTACAGAAAAAACGTTTGAACAAAAATGCATAAAAAAATTTGCACATATAAGATTGGCATATTGATATCAATATAATATGAAAACTAATTATCTCTTTGTGTATTTTAGTAGAATTATCCAACTTTCAGAAGAGTCCGAATTCATTTAGTGGTATGATAACACGTGAAAATTATGAAACCGATCCTAACAGTAGTGCTCATACACATGATCTTTTGGGTTTAAGTAAAACAGTAGATAATCAGTCACAGAAATCCTTACAGCTGGACAGTAGTCAAGGGAGACGATCCTTAGAAAGTAGTCTCTCTCATGAACAATTAAGGACAAGTCTCTCTTGTGGACATTTAGAAAATAGCCTGAACAGAGCACGTCATGAAAGTAACTTAACTCAGCATAACTTGGAAAGTAGTTTGAACAGGAACAATCTTGCAAACAGTTTGAATCAAAGAACTCTTGATGGCAGTCAAAATCGCTCTGGTTTTGAAAGCAGCATTAGTCGACAGACACTTGAAGATAATTTAAATCAAACTGCCCTGGCAAACAGTTTGGGAAGACAAGCTCTGCAGGACAGTATTAGTGCATCATTGTTAGCAAACACTCTAAATAAACATATGTTAGATGGAAGTTTGAATCGAAATAGGTTAGATAACAGTCGTAATAGACAGTTATTAGAAGGTGGTTTGAACAGGGCTGTATTAGAAAATAGTCTTGGAAGACAACCTCTTGAAGGAAGTTTGAATCGAAATATTCTAGAAAATAGTTTGGGAAGAGCAAATTTAGATGGGTCTTTTCACAGAGCTGGTCTCATGTAAGTAAGATTAGCTTATATTACGCACAAAGCTCATGTAATGGAGTTCTATAGAATTCATATTTTAACAATCGAATATCAGATTCTTTATTTGCACCAAAAAAAAATGGCAATTTGAAATTTGAGCTTATTCTGTGGGTCAGTAAGTCTTTAATTGAAGGGACATCATATGTCACTGGATGTTTAGGAACATCAGTCAATTAATTTTTTTTTTCAATGTTCTTTTACATAAAATAAATTGCATTGACTATATTCATTTGTGATATACAGTCATTGACCATATATTGTCTTGTTTATGACATTGACAGTGCGTTTTCATAGTGTTTTATTTATGATGTCAATAAAGAATACAGGTTCTTGAAATGTTTTATGTTCTTAGCTTTTAATTCAAAATTGACGATTTTTGCCTAAAATATTTCATATGGAACAGTTGTAAAAATTGCAGTATAAAAAGAATAAGAATAAATTGTCTTTATTTATTTTTTCTTAGCTCAAACTGGATAGAAATGCTTGGCAAAGCTTCACATTCTATCTGTTTCTAAGCCTTGTACAAATAAATTTCATATTTCGAGACAGTAAAAAAATAAGATGTAGTAATGAGGCAACTCTCCACCAGAGACCAAATGAATTAGTATGTATAGTATTTATATATAGGGGCCTCGGTGGCCGAGTGGTCTAAGTAGTTACTACTGTAATCACTAGCCAGTCAACACTGAGGTTGTGAGTTCGAACCCTGCTCGTGCGGGTGCACTCGACTCCAATCTTAATTGACTAGGATTGTCAGTTTTCCTATCGAAGGTCGGTGGTTTTCTCCGGGCACTCCGGCTTCCTCCACCATTAAAAACTGGCCGCCACGAAATAGCCCAAAAGCGGTGTTAAAAAGTGGCATTAAAACACCAAAAATCAAATCAAATGAAATTTTTATATATGTATTGTATTTTGTTTAATTATAGGAACACAGACCATGTTCCTGATGCTGAAGCATTGGGACTTCTAGAGAATCATATTCATGGTTTGGATCACAAAGATTCCACATTGTTTCCTTTTCCATTTGCTGTTGATTATGAAGAAAGAAAACTCTTAGCTACAAAAGGTATAGAAAATAGTTTTGAAATAATTAGACCTCAAAAAGATTTTTGTTTGTTTGTTTTTTGTGGTAAAAATGGCATGAAATGCAATCAAACCCTTTTGTCACTGACTTGATAGCTTTATTTACAAATGAAGATAACTCCAATTCAAATTATTGCCTAAATGTTACTTAATACAATGCAGTGTTTTACTTTTAAGTTTAAATTTCAAAATGAAACAGTCTTACCCTTCACTGCTCACAAGCACTTTGATTTTGTGTGCCACAGTTGTTTCTCTAAAAGTGTCAAGCAAGCTAGGTTATTTGTCTCGCCTGTGACAAAAGTCGCAGTATGCGAGACATAGGTATTACTAGCCGATGGTGGCGGCAGCGGCGTAAAATATTTGTATAGAACTTTATATTTCAGAAGGTAGAAAACCTTGATGCTTCATATCTTGTATGCAGATACCTTATTTTACAAAGTTTTCGTCAACCATTTGTCCATTGTCCTTGACCTAATTTGGTATATGGGTTCCTTGCAACGTCTATATGTCCGTCAGACAGAGTTCACCTGACCTCGACCTCATTTCATGGATCAGTGATCAGTGATCAAGGTTAAAGTTTCTTGATTAGGTCCATTTCTCAAATACTATAAGTAGTAGGTCAACTATATTTGGTGTGTGGAATGATTATAATGAGTACATGTCAGTCTGGCAGGTTTCATCTGACGTTGACCTCATTTTCATGGTTCATTGGTCAATGTTAAGTTTTTGTGTTTTGGTCTGTTATTCAAGTACTAAAAGCAATAGGTCAACTATATTTGGTGTATGGAATGATTGTAAGGTGTGCAAGTCTGTCTGGCAGGTATCATCTGACCTTGGCCTCATTTTCATGGTTCATTGGTCAATGTTCAGTTTTTGTGTTTTTGACTGTTTTTCAAGTACTATAAGCAATAGGTTAATTATATTTGGTGTATGGAATGATTGTAAGGTGAACATGTCTGTCTGGCAGGTTTAATCTGACCTTGACCTCATTTTTATGGTTCATTGGTCAATGTTAAATTTTGTGTTTTGGTCTTTTATTCAAGTACTATAAGCAATAGGTCAACTATATTTGGTGCATGGAATAATTGTAAGGTGCACATGTCTGTCTGGCAGGTATTATCTGACCTTGACCTCATTTTCTTGGTTCATTGGTCAATGTTAAGTTTTTGTGTTTTGGTCTGTTTTTCAATTAGCATACACAATAGGTCAACTATATTTGGTGTATAAAAAAAGTGTAAAGTGTATATGTCTGTCTGTCACAATTTATCTGACCTTGACATCATTGTCATAGATCTTTAAAAATGTTAAGTTTCTGTAATGCTTTTAGTTAAACCTTTATCTTTAAGACTTTCAACATAAAATCAATGATCAGTAAAGCAGGCGAGACATTTCAGCGTGTGCACTCTTGTTATTTCTTCAGAATATCAAGCGTCAAACTTCAATGCCATAATTTTAAAAATGATGACTAATTGCTGTTGATGTACATGTTTAAGCAAATCAGTAGGGATAACATTTTAATAGTCAAGTAAAATTTTGAAATAGTTTTGTATCTCCTTGGGCAAAAGAAGTAGCAAGACTTAAGTGTGCTGTTTCCATGTCAGCATTGTCATCAAGCATTTATAATTAGGTTTCACAGGCAAGACATATGTCTGTGTCAACAGTTTTGTTTTCTTAAAAAGAACAAAAAATGGAAAAGTTTTAGAATCAAAGCTTTGTATGACTACTATCAAGGTTCAGATTATAAACAGGTCAAATTAAAAGTACACCACACTCAAAATCTCAGAGCAATAGAAATTATAAATGCTCCATTTTAAAATAAATTAGGTAATAACTGTATTGTATTTTAAGCTTGACCTTTGTAAAACGTAGATTTTACTGTCGCAAATAGAGTTTACCTGGCGATGTGTAAATAGATATTTGCACCAGTAAATCAAGTTTTACAAAGGTAAAGCTTAAAATAAATACACTACAGTTATCTCCATTCTAATGCCACATATTAAGATAAATTTCATATTAGTAAAAATTTTGCCTTAAATATGCCATAAATCAAAAAGTCTGGGAAACTGTTACATCGTCATTGGCATACTCCCGATGTCGGGCATAAACCCTAAATGTATATATACTTTTCGGACACTTCTGAATTGGTTAAATATTGACAAAAAGAAGATTTTGAGGCACAAAATGTTATGTTTTTGTTTATTTTTTTTTAGAAATTACATACCAAAAAAAAAGGATTTCAAAATGGTGGCTTTCTTTAGTTACGGACTGGTAGAAAGTGGAATCTAACCCTTCAAAATATTTGTCAACGTCCAATGGAAATAATCATTCTAAAAGAATTGCATTAGAATGATAGATTCCTGTATTTTCAAAATGATTTATATGAATATAAAGGTTCAGTACTTGTTTTTTAAATGAAACATATACATAGGGGGTATTGGTTTATTGACATTGATTGTTCTAATATAATTTGACAGCTATGCAAAAGAAACCTGAGGGTGAATCTCGTACACCAACTGATTTATGGTCAGGGATGGGATTTTCAAAGTCAATGCCTGCAGAAGCTATCAGAGAGCGACTTGCTAGACAGTTACAGAGCATGCAGCTGTGTGACCCAAATATGACTACCACTTATGAGGTATTGAAAATTAGAAGCATATCTTGTATTTATAGATAGTCATGCCTTCAGTGGTTTTTTTTCTTTCTATATATTGTAATAACCTTAACACAAGTGAGGTTTTCTGTGTATATTTAAATAATAGCATCTCACAGATTGTTACTTGGGTGACATTGGTTGCATTCGATTGTAATTTTGATAATAAAGACAAATTTGAGACACCATGTTGAACTGCTGTCTGTTTGTCTGTTGACATATATGGCACATAGTTTAAGGTAGATCAGGTGTCTTTTTATGAGCATCCCTTGGCATGTTGCAAAAATAATTTTTTGGTTTAAAAATATTTTACCAAGTATCATTCAATATACAACAGAAACATCTAAAACTTGAAATTTTTAGATTAAACTATCAAAATATTAAGTGTCATTAAGTATATTTGAAATTTTTAGGAAAAATCCTTTTAAAATCAAGGGCAGATAATTATATTGAATTTGATAGGACAATTCGTGTTTTTTAATTTTTCCAGAAAATGACACCCTATTTTTATGCCCCACCTGCGATAGTAGTAAGGGCATTATGTTTTCTGGTCTTTGCGTCCGTTCTTTCGTCGGTCCTTTCGTTCGTCCTTCCATTTGTCCCGCTTCAGGTTAAGTTTTTGGTCAAGGTAGTTTTTGATGAAGTTGAAGTCCAATCAACTTGAAACTTAGTACACATGTTCCCTATGATATGATCATTCTAATTTTAATGCCAAATTAGAGTTTTGACCCCAATTTCACGGTCCACTGAACATAGAAAATATAGTGCGGATGGGGCATCTGTGTACTATGGACACATTCTTATTAATTAATATTATATACAAAGTATTTATAAAAAGCAATTCTCTCATTGAATTTTAACCAATCCTATTGATTAATGTTTCCTCAATAAGGAAAAATTAAGTTGCCCCATTATAAGCCATTTAAAATAAATGTGATTTCATTAATTTTAATGTATTTTAACCAAAAAAACAAGGTCTGTGACCTAAAGTTTTTAAATTGATATTTGAAAGTACATTAACCTAGAAGTCTTTTACAGAAGTTTTAAGAAAAATCTATCATCAAACATTTCAACACCCCAGCTACCTTAAAATTCTTACTTGATGACTTTTTTTTCACAAAAAATATTATGCATAAAACTGAATGTTATACTGTAATGATCATGACTTGTGTGTTCTTTTACTGGTTTTTTTTTTGTGAAAAAGAGCACCTTGGTCGGAACAAATTAATTTTTATATCTGTCAATAAATTGGATTTATTACTATGTTCTCAAAATTGTGTCAGACCATTGTGCGTTTCCTAAGTCTGTTCTGCATATATTTGGTATGTAGTTTTAAAAATGTGTGATTCAATAACAATACAAGATTAAAGCATATTGTTTTAACACTTTCCACTTATCCTCTTGCATTTATAAGATCCACATAAATCCTCCTACATTTATTTATGTCAACATGATTTTGTATGCAAACTTTTGTTATACTTTCCATCAGGATTTTGATTTTTTTTTTAAATTAAAAATTCACAGATAGCTGACATTTGATTTTAAAAATATTTGACATATTAAATAAATATGGAAAAAATACATGGTAGAATTGTCATGTTATTATGTATAAAAGGGAGATAACCTTATATGAAAAACTGATTTAGTGGTGAATAGAAATTACCTCCCTTTTATTATTAACCATACATAGGTATTCATCTGTTGTTTAATGATTTTTTTTCAGTCTGCTAATGAACAGCTTGGAGAGGAGATAGAACATGATCCATGGAATGATCAACAGACAGTCCCTCATAAGAAACCTCTTAACCCTGCCCCAGGGGAATACCCAAGCCCAAGGAAAAAATGTAAGTAGTTTTAATAACAAAGTTTACAAATCACTGAGGTAAATTCTTTAATTGACATTTATTGACATTGAACCAGGTAACGATTTGTCCCTAAGAAGCAGTAGTCACAGTAGTCATATAGGCAAACATTGTATGGCAATTGACTGTTTCCAGACATGCCATTTTTTCAATGTGATCTTGGGAAGACCCTTTCAAATCTTGTAATTTTTGCTGGCATCATAAATGTTGAATAATGGTTATTCCATTACAAAATACATGGGACACTAAGAAGGTACATAAAAATGAGGGAACCACTCATGGAAACAGCTTGACAAATTAAAGGGTTTTTGATCATGGAAAGCAACATTTAAATTCCCTGTCAAGAAAAGCACTAAAGTGGGGTTCCCAAATTGTTTTTATTAATAGCATCTTCACAAAGTATACAAGAAAGATGATGAAGAATTGGAAATTTAAGACCTTTAATCCAACTGACATGTGCATACAACATATTATATGAAGATTTAATTGCTGTTCAACAATCTGGTTAGGCTGTGGCTAATTGTAGTGCTATGCTAATGTTTTTTTATGAATGTTAAGTTTTAGTATTTGACGTGATGAAGACAGTTATTAAAAGGTGAAGAAGGGGCAATAAAAAATGTTACAATAGGGGAAATCACCCAGGAACAAAAAAATCCTATCATATTGTTTTGTTTTGATGTAGTTTTGTTATTTTTCAGATGATATGTGTTTAAGTAGTAGTAACCATGTTGATAGTGGCGCCCTGCCACAAGTCAAACCATGGTGGACAACTAGTATTGAACTTGCTGAACTCTTTAGTAAACTGGGGTTAGGCAAATACACCGATTTGTTTCAGCAACAAGAGGTAGGATCCTGTTGTATACAAATAAAGGGGACAATCTCAGATGCAGTATTATATGAGCTGTATCTAATAGAAATCGACATGATACAAATGAATATCAATACATCTGTTAACCTATTTCGGGTTGAAAAAATTTCTACTGAAAGTCTGTAACTGTTTGAAAGTTTAGTTGTCATAAGAACCCTACAAAACAGACCAACATTCATCTTTTATTTTGTATTTGCATATTCTTTAATCAATCAAAGTCTTATACATGTACATGTATACATGCACTTGCATAAGGTTGATTTCTATATGTCTATAACATGAAATATGTATTTAGTTGCAAAACATGAAATTATCTCTGCAAAATTTACAAACATGAAGAAAATTAGCGAAGAGGGCATTAAGTTTTACCCTTGTCCGTACGTACGTACGTCCCAAAGTTGGTTTCCCTTCTCTATCTTTAGTTTGCCTCAACTAAATGTTATGAAACTTATACAAAATGCTTATTACCACAAAACACAGATCAAGCTTGAATTTTGGTGGCATCACTTTAACCGTTCATGAGTGATGCCCCTTTACAAATGGAAAAATTGTTGAATTTTTTGTTTCCGTTGTCTAACTTTAGTTTGCCTCAACCTAATGTTATGAAACTTATATACAATGACTATTACCACAAAATACAGATCAAGTTTGAATTTTGGTGGTGTCACTTTAACTGTTCTAGAGTTATGCCCGTTTACAAATGGAAAAATTGCTGAATGTTTCGTTTCCGTTCTCTAACATATGTTTGCCTCAACCAAATGTTATGAAACTTGTACACAATACTTATTACCACAAAACTCAGATCAAGTACAAATTAGGGTAGCATCACTTTTACCGTTCTTCAGTTATGTCCCTTTATAACTATGATACACAAGCGGGGGCATCATCTGTGTCCCATGGACACATTCCCCATTTATTTTCATCCTGCAATTATAAGTCTCCCAAAAAAGTTTTGTTCTATCATGATTGCTACATATTATTGAAAGAATTTGATATTGATAAGATCTGACATCAAAGAAGACACCAGTACTAACTGTTTTCTGCTTGAAATAAATACAGGGATAAGGTCTCTTGATCTGTATAGTATACTAATATCACTGAATGTTTTGTGTAGTTAAATGGATCATTCCAGGATAAATAGATGTTGCTTATACATATGTTCACAAGTAAATATTTTTCCTTTTTATGTAAAATGTATGGAATTGACTGTTCATTTTGATGTCTTTAATTTTCATGAGTAAGAAACCTACTTTCTTTGTTATTAAAGAATGATTTTATGTCAAATGGAATTGCTATAATAGTCATAATGTTGAATTATTCTAAAATGCAGACATAGTATAAATACTTACAAATAAAACAAAAATGAATCTACTCTAGTTATATTGTATATTGTGCTTCAATCTTGTGAATTATTAATGGAATTTAAGTATTGTAATAATTGTATTTTCAGATTGATTTGTCAACATTCCTTACTTTAACTGACCAGGATCTGAGGGAACTTGGAGTTTCCACTTTCGGAGCAAGAAGGAAAATGTTACTTGCAATAACAGGTACTTAAAGTGTGACCATAGATATGGAAATGACTTCCAAAAATATAAATTAATATTTAAATCATCTACCACCAAGTTTTCATGTGTAATTTGCCTTTCAATGAATTTTAATGGAAAAAAGGGAGGTTGATCAGCTTCTCAGTTTTGAATAAATACACTTGTTCGCCTTTATATCAGATAGGATTTCCCCCCCTTTTTTTTTAGAAAAATTTATAAAGAAATATCAGCAAGATTCTTAACATTGAAAACCAGGTAACTCATAGATTTAAGCATGAGTTGCATGATTTTAATCCCTTGTCAGGAATGCTCAAAAATGATGGTGAGAACAGGATTTTGTGAAAGGAGTTACTAACTCTAAATTTTTGGCCCAAAAAATCTTGATTTTTTAAAACTGTGATAATGTTTGATAAAATTTGATGAAAACTGCTGTCAAAATGTCCACTTGTTTTTAGTAAAAGAAGATTTTCACCAATTGCGTCATTGGTGATGTATTTGTGACTACATAAACCTATGTGATTTGCGTTAAAGTCTGTTTTTTGCATAATTTGACAAAATGTAAATGAAATCTTTTCCTATTTTAGGCTTATATATTTATAATATATAAAGTAGATATGCAATTTTTGTTATTATACTATCAAATATGATACACTTAGCAGTACATACACATTTGATTTACTCAAACAACTGAAATGTAAAAAAATCACCTTTAAAGGGCCTTTAATTGGGGTTACTGGCTCTACTCCTTTCCACAAAAAATGATGTTCTCCTAACACGAATAATTCAGTTATTTTCTGCTGCTCTCAAAGGTTCGTCAGAAGAAGAGATTATTTTGGTGAGTTGGAAACAGATTTTTCCCAAAGGAAATTTCAATAATTAGCCAGTCAAATTTGGTTTTTGAAGTTCTTCTGATTAATGGCAGAATTGAAAACAAATCATAGATTTCGAGGCATGTTTTGGATTTTGAGTTGATTTCCTCCGTCTGCCTATGGTACAATTATAATGACTGTGATCATGGTGGCTGAATTATCATTAGCAAAATGGTTGTTATGAAAGCCTCACTGTGATTTCAAGATGAGAAATAGCAAATGTAAACTCTGTTCCATTGCTTTTGGTTTTTTCATGTGTCCTTAACTGATACATATTATCCTTTCTTTTATATTCCAACAACTGCTTTTTAGATAAATTATTAAGAAATGAATTATTGAAATAAATCAAAAGCATGGATGTTCAAGTCAGAATGGGTGCCTCACAGCACTTCAAAAAATGGTCTTTTGATGTAAGATATACTTGTTTTTTCTTCTAGATCTAAACAAAAGGAAATCCATGATGAATAATGAGAGCGGTAACTATGAGGGAAATACAACCCAACAACAGACCCTGAGCACAATGCCTCAAGCATCTTTATTGAGTCAAGCCCCTTCAACATACACACGTGTAAGAGCACCACCTGGGTTTGGACCACAACCCCAACGTTTGCCAGTTACTTTGAATAATGCTCCATTTTCAGCCAGTGAAATTCAAGGACTTTCATCACATAGTCTCAGTAGTAGTGCTGGGAGCAATCTTTTTGGTAGTCATGGTCCAATTGGTCTGGGATCACGACACATGTCATCAAGTTCACTGTCAGCAAGTGCCAGTAGTATGAACTTTCGTGAAGGTGGTGTAGATAATTTAAGATCAACAAACAGTTCTAGATCTGATCTTGCAAGTCTGAGTGGGAGATGGTGACATATTCTTCATTTTTAAGTGTAAATTATGCAGAAGAATGAACATATTTAAGCTGTGTAATTTTTTGTTCAATACAAATCATTAAATTAATAGGGGATAAGGTTATTTTACAGAAATAAATTTCATGAATATAGTATCAACTCCAAATTTGCCCATTATGAATTTCTTTTTCAAATTTGAATAATTCTTGTAAAATGATAGAAAGAAAAAGTATGTAGTTTTACTTAAGTACAAGCGTGGGTCAATGATCAGCATTACATAGGTACAAGTGTGGGTCAATGATCAGCAATCAAGTGTGGGTCAATGATTAGCAATCAAGTGTGGGTCAATGATCAGCAATCAAAATATTGTGACATCAATTCTGTTTTTGGGAGGTTGTATAAATTTTAATATATGCAGTAAAACAATACGATAATTTGTTTTCCCCAAACAAGATGGTTCATACATATATGAAATAACACAATTTACATAACAGTACAGTATTTTATATGCTTAAATATGTTTTTTGTTGTTGCATGGAATAACACATTTAATGTTAAAAACAACCATGTATATTAAAATTAACTTTTAATCATTTATATATGGTTGTTGCAGGCAACAATAAGTTTTAATTTAGTCATTTTTGCCATAATTAACTTTATATAATGGCTTTATTTACTCTTGAATGTTTCTAATCTAAAGACAAAAAAAATGTATTTTGTTAAATATACATATATATTCATACCTGAAAATCTAAAAACAGTATTTCTCTACAAGGTGTTATTGTATTTTAGATTAAGTTATAATTTCTTCAATTAAATTTTGTTGTATAAATAGCAAAATAAATTGGTTACCAAAACATTATTGCAACTATTTAATAGTTCTGCTACACACATACAAAATTTATGCTAAAAGTACACTTAAAAGTACATTTTTACTGTTTTGTTCATGTTTGTGCTTGATTCTATTGAAATTTATGTATTCTACATCTGTAGTCGGATGATCCTGAATTATGTCAATCTACATTGCCCAAAAACTCAAAAAATATACAAAGAATCCATTAATTAAATTTAACTGATTGTTTAAAAATTTGCTACATGATGCTTATGCTGTCTTATTTGTGCATTCCAGCTGTTTTAATTTTCATAGTTTTCATTTTTCTATCTCAGTGAAAAAAAGTCCCTAAAGCATTCAAACTTTTCAAATGTGATAATGGATAGGGCTATGAGGCCTATGTTTGGACCCAAAATATGTAAAAAGTAGAAAACTGTTATGTTTGTAAGAAATTTTAATGGAATCAAAAGGAGTAAATGACAATGCTTTCTAATATTCATTTTGAGGTACTTATTTAAACACAGTAAGGTTTTTTGTTCTCACAATACACCTTAAAGATATTTTTTCATTAAACAAATATCTTTAATTAGCAAGAAGTTATAAAACATTAAGGTACAAAATGAAATCCCAACCTTACCATTCATTAAGTAAATACTTTTTATAAGAAATAACCTCAGTTCAAATAATCTATGTAGAATATTTATTTGTCAGTGAGTGGGGCAATATTCAGTTTTGCATGTAAATATTTGATAGTGTTTCAATTATATATGCAAACATGATGTGATTGCAGGACTTTAATCAAAGAAATATTTGAAAGCACTTATTCCAAATATCCTTGATTTTCATTGTGAAATTTCTTCCTGACATAGCATGTTCCTTTTTTTATAAAAAATAAATATAGGTCCAATTTAAGTCTTGGTGTACCACTTACCTTTATTATCCAACATCAGCTGCATATAATGTAACTATTGTATATATATAGAGTTTTATATAAAGATGTGATACTATATGCTGTGGTCTTCTTTGTAAATATTATATTACATGTGTAATGGCTTTTATTTGCTTGATTATTTTTTATAATGACAAAAATCTTGAAGCTTTATCCCAAACAGTGGACCTTGGAAATTTGAATGTTATTGTTCTCATAATTGATATTGATTATTTTGTTTCATATGATTTGTTTATTTACCCATCCAGAACTAAGAGAGGGGAAAAACAAGGAATTGATCTGAAGGAGATAATGGAAGCCGATGAGGAAAGAAGGATTTATCATACAAAATTCAGTCATTATGCATTTCTGTGGAATTACACTCTTGAAATGTCTCAAATATGCAAGCATGAGTTTTTTCACTATCATATCAAATATTGTACTATGTACATACTTATACAGACTTTTTCATATTCATCATTTCTTAAAATTTTCATAAAAGTCATATGATAATTATAAGCTTTCAGTCTTTTTGGTATATTTGGCTGAAAGAAGGCAAAATTTGAAAAGAAAACCTCTTGTTTTATATACTTGTATGATTTATCAATAGGTGTTAAACTGCATTCATACAGTATGATCTTATACCAATTTTCTTTTTGCTTTTACTTTGTTTTTTCCAATATACAACATGTACAGATAGATTAAATGTGTTTGTTGCATGTTATGACTAGATTAACTTTTCCTTCTGACTGGCTAGGATTGAATAGAATACCATTATAAATTTGTTAAATTAACTCTTTTTGATCATTCAGTGAAGTTTCTAAGCCATGTGTACAAAAAGTATGTATTAGATATATTTTTTAGATATTAGATTTGTTTTTCTCTGGTAATGCTGTTATTTAAAGTAGTCATGACATATTATAATTGATAATTCAGTTTTATATTAACATCTCATTGTTAGCTTTATGTAATATTTATTTGTTAATGTTTTATTGTTTGTTTCTAGTCTGAATCATTTTGTCTCTTGATAGTCTAATTCATTTTGTCTCTTAATAGTCACATGACTTTCTTTACAGATTTATTAGCTGATTTTTTTCATGCACATATCATAAATTGCATAACAGTTTGACTGTAGTTTTAGTGATTATCAGATTGCTAATTTATAGGGAATCGTTTTTCTATAGTTTATAGAATTATAAGTTAGAAAAAAATAGCTCAATTTATCAATGCCATTATCATGACGTGTAAAGCCATGTATATACCATTATATCACATGATTAAAATCATTTTGACAATCGAAAAATAATAGTTATCTTTGACTTAGGGTAATTATTCAGTCTATTTTACTTCTATACTTATTTTTATTCATTTCTGTTGAAGAAAAGGCCATTTGACAGATCTGTCCTATAAAACTCCAAAATGTTAACAAAATAATCACATACAAGTAATTCCAGGATTCTGCTGTATGTAATGAAATCCTCTCTTAAAGTAAGCATTTATACATATATGTATATGTATATGTGAAATAGTCCTAAGAATGAAGAAAGACAATTGGATTGATGATGCAGAAACAATAGATATGAGTAACCTCAAAGAAGTCTTAGTTAAGCATAGACATTACAAACACACTTCTTGAATAACTGGACAATAAAAGTGCATTTGAAAAAAAGAAGGATAAGTCACTGCTGTCTACTCTTGAATGCAAAAAGAACTGAACATTAAAAATTTAAACGATTTTAAAGACTTTTAAACAAATTTTAAGCTACCTATAAATGACTGCTTTCTTTCCTTAAGCTGATAACGTAAACAAACAACGATTAATCAATTTTACATTACTGTTATTGTTTTACATTAATAATATCAGAAATTAAGCGTAGGTTGTAAATTTTGTATAGATTTATCATTTATCACAATGATTGTGTATTTATAAGTTTATTTTACTATAACATAGATATGTAGCTCCAATAAATATTGTAGAAAAAAAATTATGGTATGAAATTGACTCAAATTCCGTCCAGTGCTCACTGTTCTTGAGCAAAACAATGTCTGTGATTATTTTTTCTGATTGCCATTTTTTGCCAATATATGCAACATTGAAATTTTATGAACTCGACATCATTTGGGTATAGAGAAATTGAAATATGGTTTAAAATGTATGATACTAAAAGGTTCATTAATTTCAGTGCTGTTTTAATTCAACCTTGCATGCAATTTTTTGCTACATTTGTAAACACATTTTGAACAATACATTATTTGTGTTAAGTAAAATAAGTTTGTTTAAATTTTTTGGAACCATATTATCACTGTCAATTAAAAAGAACATAAGGATAAATATATTAATAATGGAAGGTGGACTGTAAATGATATTTTGGTATTTGTTTCCATTAGGACCCTCTTTCAGTTGGATAAGAGGACTCCTCTCTTGCTTCTCAAGAATATCACCGTTACTAAATATAGTATTAAACAGAAGAAGAATATCTTACTGAAAAGCTGGAAGCCATTTTGGAAGACAAAATGTAGCCAAATTTTGGGTGACTTTGTGTGATGTTTGCTTTTATGATTCTATCACTTATGAATCAATATGAAATTATGCACCCTGGAGAATGATAAAGGGTCCTTTTAGCCTTGAGTTTCCCAACTAGAATGATTGCATAGAAATAATTTTTTTTTTACATTGCTGCAAACATCATCAAATTGCAACACATTTCTTCAAATTTCAAGCATTTACAATACCATTAATCCTTCGATATCTTATATCACCAAAATTACAAAAAAGGGACACAAATGATTTGAAATTGAAAAGCAAATTTTATGAACAAATTTTACAAAATGTATGCATTTAGACACATGCACACAAATGTAGCAAATAACTTGTTAATTTCATTAATGAATATGATAAGTGCTAATAGTTTTTGTTTTTTTATTGTTTTTGTTTATATTTTATCATGTCGTTTTGCATCAAAGTGTATATTTATATCAACTATTTATACATATCTTTATAATTTAACAAATCACTCACTCCATTCAAAAATGAAATTAGTGGTTTCTATTACAATATCTTTGTCTTTCATTCCATTTGCTAGAAGTATCATTTCAAAGAACTACACGTTGAAAATTGTTTATTGGTTCTATTTTGAGGGATATTTGGCAGTTTGGAAAAAAAATATTGACATAAGTAACTAAAATGATTGTCAATTTGTGTTCCATCTAAAAATAATCATGCAATTTTACATTTACTTTACCTGTTGTAGGTAATATTGTCTTTTTTGTTTCTCTTCAAGTATTATAACATTTATCTGAAATAATTGAACACCTTTGTTCATAATTGTTTTTTTTGTTTTTGGTATTAAGGTCACAGGACATTACTTTGTGTGCTATATTTAGATTATATTTTTGTTAACAGTACTCTTACTATAATATTTGTGTAAGATGCAGGAAATTTATAATGTCTACTCACAATTTTTTACCTCAGTATTTTAATGATTTAATAATTAAACATTTCCTTGAGATCTAAAACATATTAATCATTCACACATCTACCAAAGAAGGTCAAAAGAAAATTTCAAAAAATTATAAAAATAATGATGAATTGGCTTCACAAGAAAGATTTTTTAATTGGAGTGAAATGTACATAAATATCTGATTAATTTTCACCATATGTTTTAAGAGTTTTTTTTTTAAAATAGCACACAATTACAAATATAATTTCCTGTTGATTTGAAGAACCAAAAATTAGAAAAATTGCCTTCTGCTCATAATGCTGCTCAACAGAACTTTTAGATTGTTGACATTTTCTGTATAAACCAGTGACATTTTATAATATTGATTGATTTAAATTCATAATCTTTATTCCTTATGTTATTATACATATTTTGTATATTTTTTTTATATGAAGGTCCACTGGGATATGTCCATTGTGATTCAACATTTGGCTGTGGAGAGGTTGACAACATTCTTCTAATCAGTAATTGTAACTTTTACAAACTTTGATCATCATGTAGTCCCTATTTATTTTAGTTAACGCTTATTTAGTAATTCATGAAAACTTTTTACAATGATATTAATTCCATAAACAATATATTTTGAAAATAAAGGGATGTTTTAATTATTTATGAACATACCGGTAGATTTCAGAAAATATACAATTCCCAAATTTCTTGATTAGTCATTTTCATACATGTCTGAAGAGATAATTAAAGGCTACTCCAGAGAGGGAGTGATAAAACTTCTATTACTAGTTTGGGGTACACCAACATTATTTTAATTTTTAAATGTTTTCTGTATTAAATGCATATAACATTGACCAAACTGATGAAATACCCACACCTACTGTGGAGTTCTGACCTTTTCATGTATTTATTTATGGAAAAGCCTTTATCAAATTGTAAAAATCTGATTACTGAAACTAAAATTTCAAGTCTATTTTTATTGTTCATCTGAAATCTTGCTACAAAAATAGTAATTAAGTTCTTCAATATACTATTTTTTAATAATAAAAAACAATGAAATTTAAGTCAACTATTTTAAGCTTAAGGAAAATTTATCTAAGCTTTAGCCTTCATATACTAGAGTTTTTGTTCAAGGACATTGCTAAAACAAGAATTGTAATTTTTATGCCCCACCTACGTTAGTAGAGATGCATTATGTTTTTCGGTGTGTGCGTCCATCTGTTCGTTTGTTTGTTCGTCCGTCTGTCCCTCTTCAGGTTAAATATTTTGGTCAAGGTAGTTTTTATACGCCCGTTTACGGTATGTATTATGGTATACCTCTGTCTGTCCGTCCGTCGTCAACATGTCGGACATTAACTCAAAAAGGCTTTAAATAATATGCATGAAACTTTGGTGAATTGTTTATATCTATTGACGTGAGCTCCCTTTCGTTTTTTATAAATTTCAGATTTACCGTTTCTGAGTTTTTGGGTTTTATTCATTAAAAAAGGGGGGATTTTCCAGTTTTCCGACAATAACTCAAGAATGCTTTTACCAACTTGCAAGAAATTTTGGTGAATTGTTTATATCTATTGACATGAGCTTCCTTTCGATTTTTATAAATTTTAGATTTTACGTTTATGAGTTACAGGGTTTCATTCATAAAAAAGGGGGATTTTCCAGTTTTTAGACAATAACTATTTTTTATTTTTTTTCAGCAGTTCTCATGAAACTTTGGTGAATTGTTTATATCTGTTGATGTAAGCTCCCTTTAGAATTTTATAAATTTAAGATTTTACATTTCTGAGTTCTGGGGTTTTATTCATTAAAAAAGGGGGGATTTTCCAGTTTTTGGACAATAACTCAAAAATGCTTTAAGCAGTTCGCATGAAACTTTGGTGAATTATTTATAGCTATTGATGTAATCTCCCTATTGATTTTCATAAATTTCAAATATGACATTGAGAAGAAATTGAACTTTATTTGTTTATAGTCTGACAACAGATTTACTAAGTATTGCGCAACAGCACAGTGTATTGCACAACAGCAAGAAATCTTTAATTGAATATAAATTCAATTAATATAACCAATTTCAAGTTCTTAGACTACATTTATTCAGAAACCTATAATATGTCAAAGATTTGATTAAAATCCAAATTCAGACCTGTATCAAGCTTGAATATTGTCCATTTTTGCCCCAACTGTTCAGGGTTGGACCCCTGCGGTCGTATCCAGCTGCGCTCAGCGAAGCCGTTTATTGATGAAGTTGCATTCCAATCAACTTGAAACTTAGTACACATGATCTTTCTAATTTTAATGCTAAATTAGAGTTTTGACCCCAATTTGACGGTCCACTGAACATAAAAAATGATAGTGCAAGTGGGGCATCCGTGTACTATGGACACATTGTTTTATTTTCACTTGCAAAAATTTTACTGAGTAATAGTAAAGAATCTTCCAAAAGCAACTCAAGTGATCTGTGGGTTATTTATGTTAAGAATTCCAGGAAAAGTTTATTTATTTTTGCTGAATGTGTCCAAACTTTAAATATGATAAATTGTCAGTTTTAATAAAATCATGACATTTGGTTTTTTTTCACACTGATATATCATTGTCTGTCAACCTCTACATAGGTTTAAATGAAAGGTAAATGGCTGAAACAGATTGGCTTAAGAACCGTATCAGCACGAAGGTTGTGTACAGAGGCTTGTTTCTCTAAGGTTAACAAACAACTAGAGTCCTGTTGTGAAATGAATAAATGAAAAAAGATATGGATAACCCTGAATTTTTTTTAGAGTAATTAGTATTGGTCAAGTGCTGTTGAGGCTTTTTATCCATGTACTGCGAATGTATTTACTTTTGTGGGTACCAGTTTTCGTGGTTTTGCTGAAGTCAGCAAACATGCAATGAGGAAATGTTTATTTTGTTGAAGATTTAAATGCTTTTTTAACCTTTACTCATGAAATCAATGAAAAATTTAACCCCAGGTATAATGAATCTGGGGGATATATTTAAGATGAAGAGATATCAGTGCATGGACCATTACAAAGAAATAAATGGAAGTAAAGTTGAGCTTTATAGCTTAAGACTAATAATGCTGGTGATCTATTACCGTTAGTCACTTATATACTTAAAAGGCTTGTATGTGATGGATAATAGACATACAATTACTGTCAAATTTCTTTTTTGAAAGATGTTAACCTCTGAGAAGCAAGCTTAAAGCAACCAAGGAAAGTAAATTAGGACACCACTTTATTCAACTGCTGTCAATCAAATGGGAACCATAAGGTAGAATTATGCATGGTTGTATTATTATAGCTGCTGGCATAGTTAAAACCATATTTATAGTATATATATTTTTTCTGATAATCATGTTATTGAGTATTCTTGCTTTTGAAAAAAATATGAAATAATAAAAAAAGTTTTATTGTATGTTGATTTTTGTCCATTCACTTTTGTTTACCTACATCCTTGCCCAGATGAAGCTTCAATGTTGAAAATTCTAAGGAAAAAAGTGAATTTGATACACGTTTTCATGTTATCTAAAGAAGGAAAAATAAAAGATTTTATATTTTTGGTGGAAAAACACAAGCTTTGGGGTTATATCTGATTCCTCAGTCCATTAAGTACAACTCCTAAATGACTTGATAGATATTGAGGAAACTTTATGCAGTTGTAGAGCACTACCTTGAGGATGCGTATAAAGGAATATACTAGTAGATCAGGTCCTACATGTTAAAGAGGAGACAATATGTGGTAATTGTCTCTTATGAGTGCAACTCCTCCTAAACGTCTAAACACCACCTTGGTGGTCTTGTGGTAGTGTGTTCGCAGGTTTGAACCACAGCCTGGTCAAACCAAAGACTTTATAATTGGTATTTGCTGCTTCTCCGCTAAGCACACAGCATTGAGGAGTAAGAGCAAGATCTGGTCGGCTCAGAGTCAGAATAATGTATCCGGGTAAGTTGACACTTCCTGTGGACTGTTACCTTGTGAACTAGCACTTAAAAAATCTGCATCAATGTGTCGGGTCTAGTACAAAGCAGGGTAAATAATCATATCACATTAACATGTTCTCGTACGGAATATGCATATTAATTTCTGCTGGATGTTAAGCAGCCATCTATCATTAGACGACTAAACATATTGATAAAACTTTACACAGTGGAAGAATGCTTGATGAGGATGTGCTCCCTGGTCCTGCTTGTCAAAGGGAGATAATCCAATATATTTAATTTAAATATCACATTATGTGGTAATACATGTATTCGTTCACAAGTGCAACTCCTAAAAAGTTGAAGGATATTGATGAAATTTTACACATTTAAAGAACACTACTTAAGGATGGCAATATCTCAATATTATCCCTGCCCAGCAGGTTTGATAGGAGATAATATAGATTGTAGTTGGTTTTTCAGACGAGAAGGTGTTTCTCAGCTACAATCTCATCGAATAGCCAACATTATATTATTATATTGCCCTGAAAATATGTTTAAATTCTTTCAAAGAAGACAGGCGAAACAAAAATTACAGTATTTTAAGATGGATATATAACCTTTATGATCAGAATGAATGAACTTGACAGCAAAGATGCACATGGAACTAAGACCAAGAAAGTTATAAAAAGATGCTGAGCATGCAGTTCAAAAGACTGGAAAGCAAAATTTCTCAGAATGAAAGAAACATTGGTAAAATGTAATGGTTGATATCACTGCATATAAAACTGTATACGATGCTGTTAAAATTGATGAAAAGCTGCAAACCTATCTAGTCACTGTGAAGTGCTGCAATGTTTATATATGAGCAGCACATAATCAGTAACAAGAAAGGCTGTTAACTTGTAAATTTTTAGACAGCAGTACTTTCAGAAGTTAAATAATGATAAATTTCTGAAGAAAATAGAAACTACATGAGAGAAAAAAGAAAACTGCAAGAAATTAACATTCTCCCCCCGCCCCCAAAAAATGCCAAATGGTACAAAAGTACCTGTCTGTTTGTACTAGCCAGCTGGCCTCTGGGTTATCTGGACTTTTAGGTGCTAGTTCACCAAGACAAATGACCACAGTAAGACACCTACCTCTTCCTTCCGGAGTACCAGTTTTAAAGTCTCTGATTTGACACTGGCATGACTTATACAGCAAAGATTAAAAAAAATTAAAATAGGTATTTAAAATGTTGATAACTAGAGGCTCTCAAGAGCCTGTGTCGCTCACCTGATTCTACTTTGGTTTTGGAAATCATGTAAAAATAGATTAAAATCATAACAGATACCCTAATAATGAGTGAGGCCAAATTTGGTTTAATATTGGTCCTGTAATTTAATAAAAAATCCTGGTGGCCATCTTGAACAGTAAATCGGCAACAAAGTAGCAACACTTAATCAGCACCTCATAATAAACATTTATGCCATGTTTTGGTTTCATTCCATTCAGTGCACCTCTAGAAGAAGCATTTGTATGTATTTCCCATAGGGTCTTATGTTAAAGGAAGTCCCCCCATTGGCGGCCATCATGGATGAAGGATCAGCTTCAAAGTAACAAAACTTAGTCAGCACCTCATAAGGAACATTCATGCCATGTTTGGTTTCAATCCATTCAGTATGTGGTTCTCTAAAAGAAGACATTTGTATGTATTGTCCATAGGGTCCTTTGTTAAACATTGTCCCCATCTGGCAGCCATCATGGATGAAGGATCAGCTTCAAAGTAACAACACTTGGTCAGCACCTCAAAAGGAACATGCATGCCATGTTTGGTTTCATTCCATTCAATGGTTCTCTAAAAGAAAACATTTGTACTTATTTTTTCTCATAGGGTCCTATGTTAAACTAAGTGCTCCGCTGGCGGCCATCTTAGATTATGGATCGGCTTCATAGTAACAACACTTGGTCAGCACCTCATAAGGAACATTCATGCCATGTTTGGTTTCATTGCATTCAGTGGTTCTCTAAAAGGAGACATTTGTATGTATTTCCCATAGGGTCCTATGTTAAACTAAGTCCCCCATTGGCTGCCATCTTGGATGATGGATCAGCTTCAAAGTAACAACACTTGGTCAGCACCTCATAAGGAACATTCTTGCCATGTTTGGTTTCATTCCATTCAGTGGTTCTCTAAAAGAAGACGTTTGTATGTATTTCCCATAGGGTCCCATGTTAAACTAAGTCCCCCGCTGGCGGCCATCTTGGATTATGGATCGGCTTCAAAGTAACAACACTCGGTCAGCACCTCATAAGAAACATTCATGCCATGTTTGGTTTCATTCCATTCAGTGGTTCTCTAAAAGAAGACATTTGTATGTATTTCCCATAGGGTCCTATGTTAAACTAAGTCCCCCGCTGGCGGCCATCTTGGATGATGGATCCGCTACAAAGTAACAACACTTGGTCAGCACCTCATAAGGAACATTCTTGCCATGTTTGGTTTCATTCCATTCAGTGGTTCTCTAGAAGAAGTTCAAAATGTAATAAACTGCTTCGCTGAGCGCAGCTAGATACGCCCGCAGGGGTCCAACCCTGAACAGTTGGGGCAAAAATGGACACAATATTCAAACTTGATTCAGGTCTGAATTTGGATTGTAATTAAATATTTGACATATTATAGGTTTCTGAATAAATGTAGTCAAAGAACTTGAAATTGGTTATATGAATTGAATTTATATTCAATTAAAGATTTCTTGCTGTTGTGCAATACTTAGTAAACTTGTTGTCAGACTATAAACAAATAAAGTTCAGTTAATTCTCAATGTCATATTAGAAATTTATGAAAACTAGCACTCCTTGTTTGTGTTACCTGCAAAAGTCCCACCATAAAAGATTTTTTTTAACTTTACATTGAAGAGCTTCAATCTGCAATATCTTAATACCACAAAGAAAGTATATCATAACAAGTCCAATAAATAAATCTGAAATTCATGACATCTTTATTCATGTAAAGTAAGTAATATGGTTCAAATATTTCTTATATATTCCTTCAATACCAATACTATTAATTAACCCCAGGATATGAGAACAAGGGACACAATTCAATTAAAAATATTTTTCAAAACTACTATAAAGTATAAAATATTTTTTTTACAACAGCTGTTTAAAAGGAATTGTCAACTCAAACTCCATATTTGTAACATAGCTTATCAAATGAATATCCTAGATATTTTGGGAAACAACTTTATTTGCAATAAATGCTTAAGTTTCAGAGATATAAGCCAAAAACTGCATTTTACCCATATGTTCTATTTATAGTAATGACAGCCATATTGGTTGGCAAGTGGGGTCACCGGACACATTTCTTTAACAAGATACCCTAATAATGATTTTGGCCAAGTTTGCTTGAATTTGTCAATATAGTTTTAAAGGAGAAGAATTGTAAAAGATTACAAAAGAATTACGAAAAAATTGTTACAAATTAACTATAAAAGGACAATAACTCCTTAAGGGGTCAGTTGACCATTCTGGTCATGTTGACTTATTTGAAGATCTTACTATGCTGAACATAAGTGCTGTTTTGAGTTTATCTTTATCTGTAATAATATTCAAGATATAATCAAAAACTGCAAAATTTTCGTAAAATTACCGATTCAGGGTCAGCTACCCAACAACCAGTTGTTTGATTTGTCTGAAAATTTCAGAGCAGATAGATCTTGACCTAATAAACAATTTTACTCCCATCAGATTTGCTCTAAATACTTTGGTTTCAGAGATAAAAGCTAAAATCTGCATTTTACCCTATGTACCATTTTTAGCCATGTCAGCCATCTTGATTCAAGGGTGAGGTCATCGGACACATTTTTATAACTAGATACCATAATGACGATTGCGGACAAGTTTGGTTAAATTAGTCTTGGTAGCTTCAGAGGAGAAAATTTTTGTGAAAGATTACAAAAATTTACAAAACAAATGTTAAAAATTGACTATAAAGGGCAATTACTCCTTAAGAGGTCAACTGACCATTTTGGTCATTTGACTTATTTGTAGATCTTACTTTGCTGAACATTATGATGTTTACAGTTTATCTCTATCTATAATAATATTCAAAATAATAACCAAAAACTGCAAAATTTTCTTAAAATTACCAATTTAGTGACAGCAACCCAACAACAGGTTCTCCGATTCATCTGAAAATTTCAGGGCAGATAGATCTTGACCTGATAAACAATTTTATCCCATGTCAGATTTGCTCTAAATGCTTTGGTTTCAGAGATATAAGCCAAAATCTACATTTTACCCCTATGTTCTATTTTTAGCCATGGCGGCCATCTTGGTTGGTTGACCGGATCACCGGATACATTTTTTAAACTAGATACCCAATGATGATTGTGACCAAGTTTGGTTAAATTTGACCCAGTAGTTTCAGAGGAGAAGATTTTTGTAAAAGTTAACAGACGACGCCGGACGACGACGACGACGACGGACGACGGACGCAAAGTGATGAGAAAA